CTACAAACGTGGTTTTTCGTACAATCAGGGGCTATAATCCATGAAGTTATGGTCCGATACATGCCAATATCGAAAGAAACCGAGATGTTTGCGAGATAGGCCTATATTTCAAGTTTTGTCAAGATCGGATAAAAATTGTGAACTGTTATAGAGTGTCCACAAACAAATTGTGGACGGACAGACGGACAGGGTCGACGGCATAATACGTCCACATGAAAATGTGGGCGTATAAAAAAAATGTCCAAATATAATACTAAATATAGGAAGCAAACTACAAAGGTTTATGAAGCATTATTGCCCATAGATGCTGGTAAGTTACGTGGGTTCCAGAAATTAAATATACTTGAGAGCTGTTTAGGAGAGAGAAATCCAGAAATCAAAGATCATAGACGGTTGTTCTTGATTCTGGAGTATTACTGCAGGGCCCTGTAAAATCCAAATTTTAGTAGATACTTCAATTTTCATTGGCTAAGCACTCAAATTACTAAAATTTGGATTTTGTCTTAGTTAAAATTTCGTGAAACCGGGCCCGGGTACACAATCAGAACCTGACAGTCAATTTTGGTCGACTCGGAGATGGCATAACCATTAACGATATCCTGGTAACAACCATAAAACCATTGTTCTCGTTTTTCCTCATATCGTGGCATATTCCTCATATCGTATGAATATTTGATTTCGAACTGATATCATCTCACAGTCTCACATAACAATTCCTCGTCCTCAGAGAACTTTCCATGGCATCATAAGCATCTATGTGGCCGTTGCCGTTCTGTTAAGGATTGTTAAAATCGTGGTTACAGATCAACCATAGCAAAGATCCATATGTATATATATTATACCCGAAAAGTCGTTAACCAATTCTATCACATAAAGGCTGGTATTATCCTTTTAAAATGGCAAAATTTAACAGGTTATTAAGAAAGCTATGGTACATTTGTCTATGTTAATTACTGTACACACAATTGAATTAATATCTCATCATTGATGCTTGTATTATAGATCTGTTACTAACAATTATTTGATTATTTCTGTTTGTAAATCTACTGCGTGTTATTTTTCATGTCATCAAATTGTGTTTTTTTGCTATTATCTGTAAATTATGGAGACAATTAGTACAGTAATAACTTGGGATGAATGAAAGAACTGCGTTTTAACTGATTTTAACAATAAAGTGGAACTACCAGAACAGAGCAAATACATAAGCCATGCTTTAAAATATATGCTATAACGTTAACCAAATGATTCGTTTTGGACAATTGTTTTTCACTTTGTTTCCAAAATTCAACCAGTTGTAATCCCAGAGCAACACTATTCTCGTCAGTAAAAATAATGCACCCGTTCTATAGATTATAGTGTTGTATCGCCGATTTAAAATAAACACATAAATCCATGTTTCTCTGGCGCAATTTAAAAGATTTTAATTTGAACAAGACTGGTGTCAAACATTGAAATAAAAGCGAAGATGGGAACCTCTAAAAGAAGGCAGGCTACAACTACAGTAACACCCATTGGTGGATGCAAGAATATATATATATATCCAATTGCTCTGAACCTTCACCTAACATGTTTAATTAAATAAACGTTTTGTGATTACAATGTAATGTTACAAAAAGGTGAAAAATTCTCTGATTATTGTAATTCACAAGAATCAATACCCGGCTTAGATCGCCATAAATATACGTGTCTTAGGTCGAATTTACTAGAAACAAAAAGCTTTCGGGGTTCGGAATAGAATTTAGAAGATGAAGCAGATGCGTCAGTTGGAAGAACTCCGCTTTTGTGTAAAGGCGATATTCTATGACAGAAATGTCTTTCTTTCCCAGACTTTTGGGAAATGATCTTACTATTTAAAGGTACAAGTCAGGTCGTAAACATATACATTAAAGAACAAGTAAAGACTATTGCTATCATGTTAACAAAAATATTTATCACTTTACTTTTTATCTAAGACACATAAGATGGCTGTGTATAATCAATGGAAACCAACGTTAACTTAAATGGATATAACTTAAGGTAAAACTAATCGATTTGAATGACTTTTGTACCAGAATATTAAAAATAACGGTACTGGGCTGGACGAGGCAAAAACTTTTTATCCCATACTAATGGATTTCGTGATGTTATGGATAGGGATAGGTTTCTTGCAATTTGGACATATTTACATATGGTCAATGAGGAAGATCGAGGCCTTGATAAAACCGACAAGATCTACAAAACTCGCCCGTTCCTCGACATGCTTGTCCCTCGATTTCGATCATTTTACAATCTTAGTCTCGATGAAGGAATGATACCGACAAAGAAACGTTCATCCATCAAACAGTACATAAAGGACAAACCTGTAAAATGGGGGATAAAATGTTTCCTACTTTGTGAATCTGAAACAGGTTATATTATGCATGCTGAAATTTACACTGGCACGACATTCATACAAAAATGAACACATTAACAGTGGGGACTCTTTTATCAAATAGGAAATTCTGCCCACCAGATTTGAAAAAAGTAAAGAAATTACCGAACAGAGGTGACCACATTTACCAGATTCGAGGCAATCTGTCTTGTGTCCTATGGCAAGACAGAAAGGCAATTCGTTTTGTATCTAGTTGTCATGGTCCCACTGTCACAGGCACAGTACACCGAAGAAATAAAGATGGAACTGTGTCAACAATTGCGTTTCCACAACTCGTATGGGAGGTTGTGATCTCAATGACCAACTCACTCGACTTCAAAAATCACGACGACACTTATACCGTTGACCCCACAGGCTTATGATCAAGGCTTATGATGTGGGCTGTGTATAATTCCTATATTCTCATGGAAGCCAGCAGCACTCAAAAGTTTAGAGTATTCATGGAGTTTATAGACAATATATGCCTGTCGTTAGTTGGAGACTATAGGTCCAGTGTTCAGCGACGTGAATCCCGAGAACAAAAATGTTGGTATGCACTATCCAGAATATTCCCCTGAAGCCACAGGCAGTAATATGTGTGTTGTTTGCGCATATACACATAACAAATTTCGCAAAGACCACCCTGATGTGCCTAAAAAGATGTGCCATTTAATCTAACCAAGAGCTGTTTCTAGTGTGGATTTTGTCGGCGATATGTGTGCATCCGGAAAGGCTCTACATGCTACAGGGACTGGCACAACAAGCTTGAATATTGGAGATAATCAAACTATGGACACTATATTATCTTTTGGAATGATTTGAATTAAATATAAGTGATCACAATAGATGTTTTAATTGTTTTTTATTGATGTATGTGAAAAGTCAATTTTTCCTCAGGAGGCCAGGTACAGGGGTTTTTAAGTGTCAGGGGGGTGGGGTTCAAAGGATTAAAGTATATTAGGTTGAAAATAAATCACTTTATAACCAACTAATATTTTTGTGTGAATATATTGAGATCTATCTTATCTAATATCATAGCCAATTTTCAAATTATTGTTACACTAAGTTCTGGGTTATAAACAGAACCTAAAACTAACAATATCAATACAGTAAATATGTATCAGATTAAAAATTACCTGAATTGTTAGAAAGCAGAAAAATGTGTGAAGTTTATCGAGTGTAAATCAATTAAAGAAACAGCTTCACACTTCTGTTTATGTTGGTTTTTTTTTCGAGTTGTCAAAGTATTTTAATAATCTCAAAAACTTTTAAAATTTTTAGAAAAGAAATTAAACGTTATTTACAATCAAGTAGACTTATAACCTTACTTATTCCATGGTTTTAATAACAGGATTATGAAATATGAAATTGCCATATTTTCCCTTTCTCATCATTTTAAACAATGCTTAGTTGTGCTGTTATTTTTTCACGTTCGTATCGATATTACTCGTAGATCACTTTGTACTCATTGAAAATAATTGCGCAAAATATTGCTTTTATCAACAGCGGGGATGCGTAAAATATCCACCTGAGCAATTTAATAACAATCTATTTCTATTGTCCACAGCATGCCTCGTGTCCCTAGTGTTCGTACATTAATAAAGTGATAAAATGCGAATGATATAGTCTTTAGATATGAATCAGAGTATACTAGATTATTCACTTTATTAAAAAGAGATTATTAATTAATAATAATTTCCCAATGTGATACGATCAGGATAAACCATTTAATTAAATCATAAAGCGTAACGTTAGTTACTTTCACTCTATGCAGATAAAAAATAACAATTACTTGTTTAAAGAAAGTATCTCTGCCAAAAATATCTCACCATATTAATGATTAACTACATTGGAGCAAATGATGGTGATTTTATTCCCGATGAGCATACTTTTTAGGGCATTAAACATTGGAATTGTAAAACGCAGTACTGTTTGTTCTACGCAAGAACGAACTGAAATAAAACACATTGAAGTCAAGCATTTTGCTTTGATGAAACATCTTGAATCGCTTCTATTGAATTAACAACACTGAACAGTTCTGTGTGATCATTGAAACGTACTAATTTTAAAAAGTGCATGTGTTCAGAAATTTATGAAATTTGTCAAAGCGTATCGCATAAAAGCAACTCGGTTAAGTTATGTATCAATGTAAATATCCATGGATGAAAATCGTTCTTTCTGAACACTTGTACCCTTTTCCACGCACGTCGTTGGATACAACATTTAGTCAAGATTGCGTGCACTGTAAGAAATAATTCTGTGACAAACACAAACAGTTCTGGCAGCTGGTTAATCCAGAATTTTTTTTTTTTTCTGTTACTTTTATTCTGTTTTGTAAGAGAGATAAAACAGAGAAAATACAGGGAAAAAAATCGGGTAAACTAGCTGCAAGAACTTTTCCCTGTTAAGATAGGGCTTCTGTCAGAAATTACTTGACAATTGTTTGAATAGGCTTGTTTAGGGATTAATAATGCATCATGAGTGTCCACCCCATAACCAATGGTTAAAAAAATGGTATGACTAAAATAAATAGTCTTTGTTTCGAGATTAAAGAATCAACGGTCAATTTATATAGCAGGAAAGATGAAAATATTTAATGTAAAAGGCTTACTTTTCCAGGAAGCTGAATCGCCTGTCTCCATTCATAGCAGAACCTCTCCGTCTACGTTTCTTTGACTTTCGAGAATGCCCTCTCTTTAAAGCACCCACCTCAAGCTCGCCATCTTTTACTTCTATGCTTGTTTTATTACTATTTGGGGATTTTGTAATATCTGAAACATTTGGTTGTAGCCGGTTTGCTCCATGGGTCTGGGTCTGAGTCTGAGTGGGTGGTCCAGACCGAACTTTGTTGGGGGCTTTATTTTGTCCAGCAAAGTGAGCAACTTCTTTAACCCTTCTTTCCCGTCGTCTGATATCCTGCTGGGGGCGATCTGGGTCTCGCCAAGACGTAACATCAGCCATACTTCTCGGTTCTGGAGGTTTAATGACACATTCTTCCAGATTCCCAAAAGGCTTTTTGCGATATTTGAAATGAATTTCTTGTGATGTGGCTGTTGGGTGCACCATTTGTTGGGACATATCCCCATCCTTTAATTGGATAACATACGGTTGCTGCATGGACCACATATGACCCTTTTCAAACACCGGATTTCTTCTCTCAACAGGATACATGTTATCTTAAAGGAGAAAAAAGAAAGTGACTATAGAACTTTGGGCATCGGCTTTACTACATTGCATATACATGAATTTTTTTTTTTAAAAGGAAATTTATGAAGAGGTTTTAAAATCTTTACCATACACTGTCTCATATACAGTACTAACTATGGCAAAGTGGCCGAGAGTCTCGAATTGGAAGATTCTGGGTTAAGACGAACTAACTGGTAATTCTCCATCTAATGTTAAATCCAAGCCGTTTCTATGCCTGACACAGCTGTTTTTACATTCCAGTCCTTATAACCACAAAGACCCCGACATGTCACGATCATCTGATACAATACTGATAGCGGTTGACCAACTAGAGATTTTTTTATGTCAGTCCAAAGGAATCTATAGGCTGTGGCGACACTTTCGAGGGTGATTTCCTAATTCATGTCCTGATCTTTGAGCTCCTAAAAAGGTCAACAGAAATTGCTATGAAGAACGAGAAAGTGGGGCGGGGGGCTATAAATCAAGGAATATACTTACCAATATTTATCAAGCCATAAGTGCAGTTGGTACCCGCAGGTAACGATCAGAAGTGGAAGCAGTCGATCCACATGGCAAAAAGTCTGTATACTTTTCAACAATTTTGTTTTCTGAACATTCTTTTACATTATCGTATTGCTTTTTACTTGGGTTTGAGAAGTCAACTTTACTGCATAAGAAAGTAATCGTCACTAACTAGTCAAACATACCCCTGTAACTAGTCAAACATGTCCCTCTTGGATTAAAACCACCGTAATTACTGTGAAAGACTTGCTCTTGGTTTGTTTTCAAATCACTAGTTGTATCAATTTCACTAGATACCTTCAAACTAAAGAACGCATGCATATAGTAGAAACATATACGTACCTTTTTTTCATAGATGAACTGAGCGGGAAAAACAACTTCTTATTCTTTTTCATTTGTGTTTATGAGACACTCATCGACTTTTCAATGGATAAATTTGTTTAAAGGTAACGTTGCTTCCATGGAATAAAATTATTGAATTTCTAACACTTAACACTTTTTTTTATAACACTTTCAACGCTTTTAGAAATAAATAACGTGTGTACATGAATCAACTTACGCCCAAAACTACATTCCTTCCGTGTGCTAGAAATCCTTTAAGTTCGTACAAATTTTGTATTGAACTTTTTTTTAATCAAAATGTGTAAATATATAACTGGTTTATCGGTCTATACCTTTTTCATTTCAGAATTCGATTTCACGTTTTAAAAAAGAATATACGCCTTATAAATATTCCTTTCGGTGCTGCATCAAATCATAGAATGAAAGGTTGCTTGACTCTCAGCGGCTTACAATCACCGACTTAATATCATTGTAATTAAATAAAAGACGAGCCATCAGGGAATACCTGTTTACAATGGCCGTGGTACAATACCTGTCAACAATTAACTCTTTACAATCTCAAATATACTACTCTCTTTGAAACTGTTTGTGTTAGACACTGGCAGAAGTGGGTTGATCAAATCAAATAAATTGCAATTTATTGCCATTGAGTTTTGAAGACATTATACATTTAAAAAGTTGTTGGTCGTTTTTTCATTAGTACACTGACATTGTGGGTTTTGATTAAATTTTAAACCATTGAATTAAACATAGGTTGTGTTTATAACATGGGAAAGGGAAGGCCTATCGTTGGTTTAAAACGAAAGTCGCTGCTGTAATTTGGCCATTCCGAAAACTTTGGAATGATATTTCAGAAGGCCTTTGTCTTTGTCTTTTTAATTCTTCATATTTGACCATTCCAAAAACTTCGGAATAATATACTATTCAAAAAAAGTAGGGGATATTTGATTTTGGGGGCATAATACTAAAATATGCAAATGACTACGAAAAAAGTCACTATAGAACCTAACAGAAGAAACATTTCCAGTTACATTTGACGCAAAACGCACCAATAGCTACCGCATGGAATGCAGGTGATGCTTGGGATCATCATGGGGGTCCAACCCAAGATTTGCACGACTCTGACTTTGAATGTTACAGTCATTGTGGCATTGAATTCCAGGGTGGAAACATCAGTTTAATTGTTTTAGTGACCAGAAAACAAATTTTGATATGCGTCGGCTTACCCAAAATGAAAGGTTACGTGCCCTTGGCATGCTACAGATCGGCACAACACAGGCGGTTGTGGCGCGGACGATGAATGTTTCTCAGTCTGTCATAAGCAGGCTATGGTCCAGATACCGTGATACACAATCTGTACAGGACAGACCACGCTCAGGTCGACCAAGGGCGACAACTCAAGCCCAGGATCGATTTATCCGTACCTTGGCCTTGAGAAATCGTGTCATCACAGCAAATCAGATCAGCGCTCGTCTTCAAACAGACACTGGTGTGAGAGTGAGTGGCCAGACGATTCGAAATCGACTGCATAGGGGTCACCTTCGCGCCCGACGTCCTCGCGTGATCCCTTGTTTGAGAGATCATCACATTCAGGCAAGACGTCGTTGGTGTAGGGATCGTCAACACTGGGATAATCGACGCTGGAGCAATGTGATGTTTTCAGATGAGTCAAGGTTCACTGTTGATTTTTTGGACAGACTTAGGAGGGTGTGGCGTCGTCGAAACGAGCGCTTCCAAGATGTTAACGTCATCAGACATGATCGATTTGGGGGTGGTTCTGTTATGGTGTGGGGAGGCATCACTGTTGCTGGAAGAACGGCTTTACATGTTGTTGCAGGGCGTGTTACAGGCCAGTACTACAGGGACAACATCTTGGCAGTCCATGTTGTGCCGTTCGCACGACGTCATGGCCGCCGTTTCATCTTCCAGGATGACACGCAAGATGTCACAGGGCCAGGATTGTTACAGGTTACCTCCAACAACAGAACATCACCACATTACCTTGGCCAGCACTGAGTCCCGACCTCTCCCCCATCGAGCATGTCTGGGACATGCTTGGACAGAGGTTACGTCAACGTCAACAACGTCCTGACAATGTCCAAGAACTTGCTGCTGCGTTGCAACAGGAATGGGACAATCTGGACCAAAATGACCTTAGACGTCTCATTAGGAGTATGCCACGTCGGATCAATGCTTGTTTGGCAAACAGAGGAGGATTTACCCGTTACTGACTTGGTTGTGATGCTGTGGTAACTTTGCTGTTTGACCCCGGCTATCATTTTACCCTTATAATGGTCAGTCTGTGCCTTACTTAGTCTAACGATCATTTGGAATAAATCGATGAATGTGAACTTCATTTCATTTTGTCATTTGTTTCTTCGTCAGTTTCATTAGGTGACTTTAATAACACTTAAAAATCAAATATCCCCTACTTTTTTTGAATAGTATATTTAGAAGACTAATAAAATATTCTTCCCATCTGCCGTCTTCACCTACTGGTTCTTAGAATTTCTCTCGGACCTGGTGCAGTCGATCCTGATGTTGGGACAACATCAAATTCTAGTTTAGGTGATAAACATTCTCCCCGGACGAAAGCTTATATTATTTAGGAAAATTTAACCTGCGCAAATGAGTTGTGATTAGCACATGGTCTCGCGAACCCCTGCGTGACCAATAAGAACCTTGGGTAAACGTAATTTCTCTTTTGAAAAGGTACCAGCAATGCTAGAAGGATGGATGCTTTGACGTTCAGGGGCCCAGGTGGAATACACACATTAGCAGGGGCCTGTGAAGAAGGGTCGGGTCAGGGGTACGGACATTATTCTGCTCGCACAGAGCTAATTACATTAATTAATGGGTGCTATGATGATTGATGGGGTGGAATGAAAACATAGGTGGGTGGATTGGTGGAATGGGATTCGAGATGGATGGAATCATGGGACAAAATGAAATTAATGGATGGAAAGGATGAGAAAATGAGGTTGTGGAAAGATTCATGCAAAATGTGGAAGTCTTCATCAGTCCTAGATAATATATTATTTAAACAGAACAATTATCTGTGGCTTTCATCTAATATGTAATTAAACTGCATAATGGTGTGCACACATATATATCAAATAATTTACTTATAAGCTTTTAAAGCAGAATAGAGGTATATAATCAATTTGAATTACCATATCACTGATACAACTGAATAGTAAAATTCTTAAACCAGTTAGGTTATCCCATCATATAAATCTATTGATTATTTCTGAATAACACAAATATTTTGATTCTAAAAGTTTTAGACAATAGGTTTATTTCTGTCCATTTTAGTTTTTGGTGTGTGTAAATAAACCTACTTTTATCATGAGATATTCTGTGCAATCTCATTAAACAACATAATGTACTATCTATGTGTTAACTATGGTGGATGATTGGTATCATGTCGTGATGTTGTGGTGTCGCCCTTCATAAGGCGACAACCCAACATCACGACATCATGACATTATAACCCGACACCACAACAACCCGACATGATACCAATCAGCCACCATAGTTAACTTTATTGTTCTAGTATAAAATTTCTTTCATAATTGTGAACATTTTAGTATTCATTAAAATATAAAGAAGTATAAACTACTTAAATACACTAGGTTGGAATGGAAACCCTACTCCTTGTCACATACAATCAGGGAATCAAAACCATGCCATTTGACTCAATGACAGACCTTATGATTGAACAAACACACGTTAACCATTGGGCCACCCAACCCCACTATTAGACTTCAGAAAACACACAAGAGAATAATCAAATCAAGGGATGTAAAATACTTATATTAACTTATATTATTTAAAACATAGATTGAGTCTGTCAGACCTCCTTATACATGTATGCTCACTACCAGCAATAAATCCCTGTTCAACAATTCCATTGAGATCTCTATCCTGAAAATTTAGAATTTTCAATAATTTTCTTCCATATGCACAAATGAGTTTGAAATTTTATTACTGTGTTCATAAGAAATCTTAAACTGGGAGGCAACTTCACAACATCTGTCATGCACACTGAGCATTAGTGTGTTCACAAAAACAGATCATTGAACAGGATAAATAACAATATACGTCCACATTAAATGTGGGTATATAAAAAGTTATAGTCACATGATCATAAAAATACCAACAAAACAATATTTTAAAGCTCAAAACAGATACAGTACCACAACAACATTAACAATATTATATATTGAGATGCAATAAAAATGCACCACTGAAAACCCAACAGCAAACCACAGAAATCATAATAACTTTACTTTAGAGAGAAATGCAGGCACGTGGGGTAATAGAGCATCTTCAATAGAAGTCTTAATCTCGCTTTAACTCCGTACATCTATCAAGCCCTTAAAGTAATGCCCTGCATATTTTGTCACTAATTTCGATTGGCTACTGACCCAGCTGGGGAGAATATCAGATTTTCGCGCTTTCCAGCTAAAATGTCTACCTGTTTTAACATTCATCCCTCAAGCATGGTAATAGAGTGTAGGCACTGATGAACCCCTGACAGCTTACAGTAGCAGTGGTATGGGAACCTTAAAGAAAGCGATCCTGGAGATGTCGTCAGATAATGTGCCTATCTTGTTAAGGTGCTGTCATGTGTTATGGGTGACATAATCTGATGTTTTAACATTCATCCCTCAAGCCAGATTTACAATTATCCGTTTATAAAAGTGCTGCATATTCATTGCATCTCAGTCATGAGCAAAACAAAGCACCTAAAATCTTTTACTATTTCAAAATAAATGGTCATGCCACTGTCACTGTTACAACAACGTGGGCTTTTTTTTTCTTAAAATTAGCAAATCTGTGAACCTTAACATTCCAATATTTCGTTAATATCCATTAAGCAAAAAAACCAGAAACACTAATAAAATATATAGTACAATCACAGATTTTAGCGATAAGCTTGCAGACTTTTATTCATTTCCCCACTCTTCATACCAGGAACTAACGACGATCGACACATGCCCCAGAAGAGTTGTGGAGTGAAGTTTTTGTGTGTAGCTTTAAATTTCCAACCCATGTGATTGGCGCAACTTCTGCACTGTGCTATTTTCCATGAATATCCTGGAAACCATGAATGTTCGGTTGAAGAGCGACCAATTAGTTGAATATTCTGCACATTGTATATTGTCAATGTTTCATGTACATGGCCAGCAGGATTAACGAATGCACCCATTGGGCCCTCGACCGCCATACTGAACACATCATTCTTGTTAGCTATTGGTGCATTACAATATTTACATTGAAGAACTGTGCATGTTTTCATCACAACTAGCTCATAACGCAATCTCTGAATGGCTGAGTCATAACTAAGTAAACGAAGTCTAATTGTATCATCCAATGGAAGATTTTGAGCCAGCCAAAAGGACAACTCTGTTGGTGTTTGAGGGATTTTAGCTTCATTTAGAGAATCGTTCCAGCTTCTTAATTCCTTCTTTATTTCTTGAAACAATATATCTGTATCAAATCTTTTATATACCCAAGGAGGCCACCATGTATAATTTGCACAAGTCATTTTATTTATTCGATGTATCTTAACTGCTACAGGTGCAGTTTCAGCAACCTTGTGTTTCTTAAATATGCTTTTTTTCTCAACCTTTGTCTTCAAAGCTGCAGTTGCATCCGATGCAGACATTGGCTTACAACAAAATTTAAAATGTGACGGAGGACGTGCACCACATAAATTCTCAGGTAAAATTCTTTCTGGCATAATTTTAACTTTAGCTCTCAATACACCAGTTATGTCCCTTCGTGATTCTATCAAACGAAATCTTTGTCGCCCTCTGGCTTTTATCCTTAGAGTTGATATCCCAGAAATGTCGTCAGTTTCATCTTTTATGGAGAATATTTCTGCTGTGGTACCAATATAATCTAATTCATCCATCTCTCCATCAGTTCGATTTCTGTATGTCATTATTCCAAAGGTCTTGTCATTTTCTGGTTCTGCCACTCTTTTCATCATTGCCACCATCTGAGGCTGGAATAAATGAAGGGGGATAACCTGGTCTGGAATTAATACAATTCCTGGAAGCATGTATAATGGAATATCAATATAAGACTCGTCATCATGAATTGTTCTTCCAGAATGGACATCTTCCATGTCATTGCCTAGATAAGAGTGTGTTGATGGGAGGTGTCTATCGAAACCAGCGGTAGTATTGACGTGCTTTTCTTCCTCATCATGCATTTCGTTATTTCTGTTTTCATCTTCACTCTCCTCTGAATCTGAGTTACCTAACAACATAGCCAAATCCTCCATAATGTACGTTCATTTGTTTATACTGACACTCCGCTGATCTTGCTCGCGAGTAACTTTTACAAATTAAATAAGAGCTGTCAAATCCTTCGATGCCAATGTTGTTATGTCTTCAGTACACATGTACCGGAAAGAAATCAAGGTCGAGTTTCTTGCAATCTATTTCACAATCCCATGTTTTGGGGTAATTTCCAATTCAAATTAACAGGTAAATAGAGATTAGAAAAAAATAGAGTATCTTGGGAAACACGTTAAAAAAAAATTCCAATTTGTGATATAATAAGATCAATATTTGGTGTCATTCTATGTTTTGTTAAACACGACTCGGTGTAGTCTTGTTTGTCAATATTAAATAAGGTGAAGAAAAAAATAACCTAAAATATTTAAGAGTGCCTTCCCTTGGAAAATACTCTATCTTTAGAAACATTGAAGGTTAATAATTTTCAAGATGGAAGTACTCGACACATGTTATGTCAGTACAGCGTGTAATAGAACTTGTCACGCTGCTAATTGGGGACAGAACAACTTAATTTGCTATGGATCATGTAATGCCGTTTGCATTTACAAGCCTGAGGTAATGCCACTAGCATCATTTTCGAAATAAAACTTTTAACAGTAAAATTTCCATCAAGGATTAAAAGTTACATCACCTACCTCTACTACTGTTGAACCTTCGGAAATTTTAATTGGATTTCTTCGATTATGAACAAACTACTGCCATTAAAAACGTGCCTATATGTTTGAAATCACCTCCCGTTAAATAAAATCCATTGAACAATTAAATATCCCAATAAATAGAAAAGTTCTCTCTTGGAAAATTGAACTCCTCACAAAGTAAAAGTTGGACATGATGATGATGGTCGAGAAATACAAAAATAAACGTTATTTAAATTACGTTGCTTATCGGGATAGATTATTTCGTGTGGGGGGGGGGGAGTCGGCAAGGCTTGTCTGTCATAACGGGATGTCTACCTCTTATACGATAGTTCAATTTTTGTGTATGAATAACGTATTGCTCTCGGACCCAATAATGAGTTTGGGTGTTTACAAACATAAATACGCCTGTAGTCCATTATTTCGTGTCCGTCTTGTATTAATTATTTGATTAAAGAGTTGGGTGTGATTATTTCCTCTGAACACAGGTGCAGAACAAAAAGAATGGCATTCGTTTAATGGGCCTTGTATTTCACTCTTGAATATCTTTAATATTTCCTGATAAACATAGCAGCCTTGTCAGTTAACCTCGGCAATCTTCTGTAGCTGAGGTTAATCTGTATATGCCGGTGTATTGTACATTTTCCTCTGCAAAATAAATAGCCATGGCCATTGAATACGTATAACGTTATTTAGAGTCCATTTTATTTTGGTGGGGGGGGACACGGTGGCTAAGTGGATAAGATGCTGGCTCGCTAGCCTGGAGGTTGCATGTTCGATCCCTGCATTATTGGCCAAGAAAGTTCATCAGGATTTTCCGGCATAGTTTCCCCTTGTCAGTGGTGCAGGACGGAAGGCCTGACAAGGACAGCTGTCTAGTCATTTGAATGGGACAAAACCAGAGGTACCATGTATATATATTGGTGTGCATCTAAAAGATCCCTTGGCAGTTGGAATTTGCTTATAAAAGTAGGCCATAGTGCCGCTGGCCGAGCTAAATTTCTGTCATGGTACACTGTATGACGTAGTCCCATCTTTATTAGCCCAGTCGGAGCAGAACCGTAGGATATTAAATTTTAATACTGCGCATCGGTATAATTATCAACAGATACATGTAGTTCCATTTCTTTCTATTTCTCTTCGTATAATAATTCTGTTGTACAAAAACTGTTTTGAAATTCACAGGGCATTGTATCTATATGATTGTACTCTCAGTTATTAATTATATATTAATCACAAGTGCAACTCCATTTTGAAATCCATGGAGAATGGAATTTTCCGATGGCATTTCGTAGATCACGATCATTCCTCAGCCAATCAATGCTTTGAATTCTATTACCGTTAAAGGTTCCATGCCATAAGAGTTATTGTATGCTATACAGATGCACTGAAAATGGTTAAATTATGCGCAAAACATGCACAAGTTTTTCTCATGTCTAAATAATTAACACACAAGATCTAATAATACACAAAATTTGCGATGCCTCTTTTGACCAGTGAATTTTTGTTTCAATATATTTTTATAAGACGATAAATGATGTTTATTCATCCTGAATTATTCTTATGAAGAATTTTTCGTTTTCAGTATCTTTTGAATAAACAAAAAAACCATAATTTTATCTGGAATATTATTGACATGGACAGTCGGAACATGAATAAAATATGGAATTTTTTGAAGCGGTGACCTTTTTTCATATTTTTGTGGTAATCATAAAACTTTGAAAATGGACTAATAACCACAGAGCATTGATGTTAATTTATAAATGTTAGCCACAAAGTTGCCTATAATTGACAGAGATGTTATATAATTTATAAAAATATGTATAGTATACAGGCTATTTACAATTATGGGGAGACGATGATGTGAAAAGCAATGTTATTGTCTTCAGTTGCCATTTTTTGTTCCCCAAACTCAAACGATCGAAAAGTTTGTGTGGTTTTTTTTATTGCAACACACATGATTGTCACAATTTGTCAACCTTTACCCCCCATCCCCACCCTTCAATGTCTTACGATGGTTTAGCTCATCACATGACATGTGCAATGTTGTGATGAAATTCCACCAGTCTCTTTAAAACATGTAATATTGATAAAGATAAAATAAGTTACCCTCTCTGTGTGAATGTCTCCATATTTTAACAGTAGAATCGGTTGAAGAAGAGGCATATGATAGTATCTATCATAATAATAAATACAATCATAAGCCTTTTTGTAAATTTGACAAAATTAAATATAAACAGAAGCAGTCTGTCCTAATACAGGTGAATAGGGATGAACAGGAACGGTCAGAGGACAGCATTAGGATTTTACTGTAAAGGTTACCATTAAGCTGTCTAGATATGGCGAAAAGCATACCATTGGTGTACTGACAATGCCCAGGAAAAATATTCGCCACCCTTCTGGCAAGGAATAATTCGCCACCTATATCCATTATTTGCTAACCCGAACCCCAATTCTGGAATATCAAACCTTAAAATGGAGGTTTTCCAAGCTTTTGCTCCGCTGAAAGCAGCATGGTTATTTGTGAATATTATAGTATACAAGAACAATCAGGTGGTGACTGATTTTTTGCATTGTTCTGGGATATTAGCCACCCAAGCCATTGGTTAAAAGAAATATGGTCTCTTCACTAGCTTTAAATCCAATATATAGATTCTAAGAGTTTTATTCAAGATGATAATAGTAGGTGATTATTATGGTAAATCCAATGCCAACTAAGCACCTTCTGGTACTGTAAACTGCAGAAACTGATTGTTTTTACATATGATTTATTTGTAGGTTGGTAACAATTCACCATGTGAGATAACACAGACTCTCTGTGGACATACTGATAGAGTCAATTGTGTCAACTGGATTAAAAACACAGCAAATTGTAAGTAGATCTGATATTTGAAATGCATGACTACATTTAATTTTCCAAGCAATGTAATTATCATAATTGAAAACTTAAATACATGTATATATTACATAAATTGTAGTGTAGATTTTACAAATCTCAACCACAGCTCCATTATTCCCATCTTCAATAGAAGGCTTGATCCTGCTTTAACTCTGTACACCTTATCAAGCCCTTCACGTAATACCTCGCATATTTTGGCACTATTTTCGATTGGGTACAAGCCCAGCTTGAGAGCCTATCAGATTCCCTGATCATCGCGAATACCAAGTCTTGTGCTTTCCAGCTGGAATGTCTACCTGTGATAATCGAGTTTCAAAGTTCAATGTTCGTTTAATGTCAAGGTTTAATGATTGGACACTGCTGTTCACTTGTTCTGGGTAAAGGTAGATAACATAGCTATAAGTTCGGGAATTTCTGACTACTCTAGCAACGGTTAGATGTAAAACTCGCGGTCGTTGCTTCAGGAACATGCATTATTCCATAAGATCAGGCCTGGAAATAACGGTTTTAGATGTACCTGACAAAATGTCAGTCACTATTGAAATAGTACCTGGAATTTTCAACTTAGTGCTGGACATGTATTAATAATGTCAATAAAAAAGACAAATCAATGCCGGACAAAATGACAGGCACCAAAGGTTTTGTACCTGACAAAGCCTGAATCTGTGTCTGATATTGTCTGTGACAGGTGCCTTATTTCCAGGCTTGCATAAGATCATACTAATCATTCCCCATTCAGTTAGAATGTTTATTGCTATCAGATGATTGGATTGAAACATCTTGTTCTATATTTTACCACAATTCAGTCATGGTATCATAACATGTGTCACACTTGGTGGACAATTCCTGTCTGTATAATGTTTTTGCTAAATGGTTATTTTTTTATTATTTTTTTTTCTAAGGTGAAGAAACAGAGTTTGTATCTGGTTCTGTGGATAAGTCAGTCATTGTATGGAAAAAAGAAAATGATAAGGTAAATTAATATTAGCCGAGTAGCTTATTAGCCCATTGTTATTAAAATTAATTTTAATTACATTGTACATAAAAGATGAACTATATACTGTTAGTGAAATAGAGAACCCATTTCGCTCAATATGGAAATCATGACTATTTACAGCTGAATTAAGGTCATGTCCAACCTTTATTTTATTATTTTATTTAATCAATTCTTATCCAATTACATTGGTATAACATTTGAAATCTGTATACACCTGATCTGAAAATATTTTTATGTTGAACAGCAAATATATTTTTATATAGAGCAGTGTTTCTCAACCTTTTTTTACCAATGACACACCTTGGAACACATGAAAGAATAGCGGGACACCTGGCTAAATATATATGAAAAATATTTGAATTTTGCAAAATAAAAACATGTCAAGTCATACAGAGCATACAACCGTAGACACAGACTAATCATAGAATGACTCAAACTGAATAAATAAAATAAAACACAGCTATGAACTTACTTTATTGCAGTGTTTCGAATTTCAGATAGCTGGCTTCTTTAGTGAGTAATTTTCTCAGTGTGCTGTTCAAAATTTTGCGGCACACTTAGGAAGATCTCGCAGCACACTTAGGAAGATCTTGCGGCACACTGGTTGAGAATCCTGGATATAGAGAGATATACAGTAGTTGAGTTACATGTCTATGTACATTCTGTATAAGAAAGACTGCTTCTGTTTATATTTAATTTTGTGAAATTTAGAAAAAGGCTTATGATTGTGTTTTATTATTTCAGTTTGTGGAGAAAGTGTGTTTAAAGGGTCATTCACTATCAGTTAATGCTGTATGTGGTATCCATCTTGATAAAGAATCTCAGTCTAATAACAAATCTAATGTTGAAAATATAGATACTATCATAGCCTCTTCTTCAACTGATTCTACTGTTAAAATATGGAGACAGTCTCATGGAGAGGGTAACTTATTTTATCTTTATCAATATTACATGTTTTGAAGAGATTGGTGGACATTCGATCAACCTGCTTTGAAATATTTTTGAAAGGCTTTCATTATTCAGATAGGAGCCACACAGGCATCGGTGAGTAAGGCCATGGCTCACAAATCAGGAGATCCAGTTTTCAATCTCAGTGTTGGCCGAGAAAATTCCCAAAGATTGTCAGTGTGATTTCCCGATTTCAGTGATGTAGGACAGAGGACCTGGCCAGAAACAGTGTCTAGTCATTCAGATGGTATAAATAAAATGCGATCCTGTATACCTGTCTCATATTTCTCTGTATATTTCAGATTTCAAAGAGCTACAGACTATATCATTTGGAAGTGGATTTTCTTTAGATGTGGTGTTAACAGTAATTCCAAATACACAAGGTAATATATTGTATATAGCTGTGATCTCAATTGTCTTGTTTTAATGTGTTGTGTGGAATTCATGTGTTGAATATCATATTTCTGTTTTGTATTTAAAAATACACTGTCGTTATTTAAATAATTATAAAAGTATCAATTTGGTTAAATTTGATGTCTGCAGATAAAGCCAATGTTGACATATGACTGATTTTGTGTTCAATAGTCAAAAGTTTTAGCCAAAATTTGAAACTAGAGTTAATAATAAGTAGGCTACCGGTATCATTTAATCTTTCAAAACCAAATTTTGTTCTTCACAACTGAAATAACACATGAATTCAATACTTCAAATCAACCTAAATCTGGTAACATATCTGTAGTATGACTTAGTTTTATAAAATTATTTGTCTGTGTTCTTTTTCCAGTTCCAATACTAGCTTGTGGCGCAGATGATCAGAAAATACATATTTTTACTTTTCAAGAAGATACGGTAGATAGTATTAAACTCATCTATTATGCATTTATGAAACCATGAAAATATATTCTCATGTATTACCACAATGATTTGATATTGTTACATTCTGCATATCATGATTAAGATCTACCTCTCAAATGAGATTTAAATTTATCCATTAATAAAAGTGATTTATTTTCATTGCGTCTCCGTATATAAGTAAACTATCAAATAAATGAGATTTACATTCATCCATGAATAGAAGTACTATGATTTGCATTCTGTCACATTATCTAAGTAAACTATCAAATAAATGTATTGATAAAACCGACCATCACATCCGTCACTAATTTTTAGCAGTAGGTGCTTTTGCATTCAATTCCCCGATGAACTGGCCAGTGATATTTAGAACATGTGGAAACGACTATACAATATGCTCTTTTCAGTTATGTAGCTTCTGTAAAATTATATATCTCACATCACCAAATTTAATTGTCTCCCTTCCATATTTTTATATAATTTTTTGTTGTAGTTTGTGAAATCTATTGTAATAACTGGACATGAAGATTGGGTTCGTGGCTTGGATTTTTCAGTCGACAGTAAGTCTAATTCTGGATTTTGTTCATTGGTTGATGTGTCAAGGGAGGTAACTCTTACTAGGGAGAGATTTGGGGCGTTTAATCTTATATGCCAGTATGATTCAGAAGATTTATTACAATTACTAGATGCAAGAGAGTGATTTGAATATATATGTTTTCTGATAAATCTATAATAATTAGATTTGTATCAGAATAATGTGATACTTTTTTAAAGCTTTATTAAAGCACTTTTCGTACAATATCTGATTTTTCACAGTTTAATCTCTATGCTAACATGTACTTGTGTTGGTTATTTAACATTGAATTCAGAAAACAAAACCAAAATATCATTGGTAGTTCATTCATTAGATTTATAAGAGACTTATCAAAAGATTCTACCCTGGCTCGTTTATATCTTCTGTATGTAGAGGATGCTGAATGTTGAGAAATTTTAAATACATAAAATCCCTTGAATGACGATCAACATCTTTAACATTCTGAACATCAGAGACACTATTTTATTAAATGAGAAAACATGTAGACATATAGATTATCAATCTATACTCCGTTATATGTCTTCTTTTGAAAATTAACATTTAATTGCATTTATTTGATTACAGATTATTTATTGAATTTGTCTACTTTTGTATATTAGATAATGGAGATTTGTTATTGGCTAGTTGTGGTCAGGATAATATGATAAGAATATGGAGGTTCTCTAGACGAGAGAGTAGTTCAGGACAGCCTGTTCAGTCAGTGAAAGACCTTACTTTAAATGAAGATATCAAAATGCAAGAAAATACTTTTACTTTTGACATAAATGGTAAGATATTGTGTAACATTTTATCTAAACGGTTTAATTGGATTTATACGATTTTTGTCAACCAGGGGTTGTTACTTCTTTAATAGGCATATTAGTAATTGAACATATTAACATAATATTATGGATACACAATTACTGCATTTATTACTATGAAACATTTTGACAAGGATACTCTTGTCTTTATCAAGCAGGGGTTATTTGATTCTGATAATTTGCTGAAATTATTTTAAGCAAATTCCTATGAAATTGGATGATGAAACTGCTGTGAATCTTGAAGCATATCAGATATAAAAATGGGTTCAATAATGTAAGCTAAATTACAAAATGTGTGGATATTGTCTTTTTATCTTGTCTCAAAATAATCAGCCATTCAGAATTGATCACTAGTTTTGCTTATCATGGTTACGTAACTCATTGAGGGCACGTCAATTTTATATGCCAAAATTTTCATGTGGGCGTATATAGATGTCGCCTCCGTCCGTTCGTCTGTCCGTCCACAATTTGTTTGGCTAAATGCATATTTATAACCCAAAGATCTTGGTTCCTTTAGATATTCGCGCAGATCGGACAGTAACTTCCTGAATGATGGCCTCTGATTGTACGAAAAATGATTTTTTTAGCTTGTGATTCCTCCAGAGGTCACAATTATTATCCGATTTAAAAAAAACGTTCTTATATATCGCCGTTAAACCGTAATGTCTGTCGAGATTGAATTTCGTGAAAATCAGACCAAAACTGCCAGACAAAATGGCCGCCCCTCGAAGGCAAATAGTGTACACATATTAAGGTATATCAAGTTTGTGGAATGTGGACCCTTAATGGTCACAATTTTGATCCGGACAAAATGGCCGCCCCTCGAAGGCAAATAGTGTACACATATTATGGTATATCAAGGTTGTGGAATGTGGACCCTCTAGAGGTCACAATTTTGATCCGGACATGGCCGCCCCTCGAAGGCAAATAGTGTACACATATTATGATATAAAAATGTTGTGGAATGTGGACCCTCAAGAGGTCACAATTTTGATCCGATTTTGATGAAACTTGAAATACATGTTTATAATCCAAAGACCCTGGTTTCTTTCGATAGAGGTCACAATTTTCATCCGATTTTGATAAAACTTAAAATATATGTTATATGTCCCAAAGATCTTGGTTCCTTTCGCTATTTGCACATATCAGACAGTAACTTCCTGGACTACGGCCCCTGATTGTACGAAAAATCATGGTTTTTAGTTTGTGGATTCTCTAGAGGTCACAGTAAATTTGTATTTCTTCAGAAAAGTACAGCAGAGTTTTAGAAAGTTACATAGGATAAATGTTTGAAAGGGTAGTTTTTTGAGTAAAATATATCTGGGACAATCACTTATCACTATAACTTTTGTGATTATATAGACATTGTTATCCAGGCCAACCGAACAAAGTGTGAAAGAGAATAAAGGTTTGCACAAATTGTTCACCCATAATGAACTAGGTTTATTCATTAAGATTATTAGGGACTGTTCCTTTAAAGTCAGTATAAATATTAGATGTTTGAAAATTTATATTTTTAGGTCAGCTTTGTTATTATGCTGTGATTCTAGAATCTGTTTTAAGTGGACATGATAATTGGATCTACAGTGTAAAATGGCAGAAACCCTTCAAATCAGGTAATCCTCTTCAACTAAAACAGTTCCAATGCATTGAGTTAATTAGCCAAAGTATGCACAGTTCTACTAAGGTCAAGATTCCATTATTCAATAACTCCATGCCCTTGAATTATTATTCACCAACGTCCAACATTGATTCTCATTTTGGTATTTATGTATTTTCCACTGCCAATAATTTAAATGCACAATAATTTGAATCGTTTATCCTCCTACAAGCTGTCATCTGACAGATGTATGTAGTGTTCCAGTGATGGGATTTCAAAATTTTAGTTGTTGGATCTTTTCTTCCCGAAAATAAAGGGGCATAACTCTTATCTTTATTTAAGCAGGCGTTTTCAAACCACAATTAAGAATCACGTGTCAACAAATTATTCAAATTCATACGTAATAAAAAAAATAGGTGCACCTCGTTATTTTTCACATTTAATTCCCGTACGGTATTCAAATTTATGTCAATAATATTCCTACAAAATTACATGAAATCGTAATACCATAGAATGAAAGCGTGCCGACTACTACCCATCAGTACCGGTTTCAAATTCCTCCAAAATTACCGTATTTTTCAGGTCATAAGTCGATACATTTTTCAGCGAAGTCCGGCATTCGTCTTATACTCTGTTTCGATTTATATACGGAAGGTAAAAAAAATGACATCCCGAAATTTATTTGACCGTAAACCGTAGTAAAAAATCCCATTCGACTCTAAGCATGCGCTCTCGTCTAAAACCATTACCGTAACTACTTACGTTATTCCAATCAAAATATTGGTCAACATTTTTTAGCGTGTTTATTTATTTATTTAAAAACATAAACCCCATTCAAAATATGATCATAAATTCGACAATATGCCATCAAAATATAATCTTTTCTCCCAACATCAGACGTATTAGATTGGCACGTTTACACGTGTCTCGCGAGATTTCTACTTTCATTTTGCGAGTGTGTGAAATAGCTTTATTTAACATCGGCTTCCCCTGAAGAAATATCACAGACAAGTTATCGAACACAATGTATATTAATTTGGGGTGTTATATACTATTAGGATATGTGACATATATGACTAATGTCTACGGCTGACATCAAGGAGATTAAAACGTGAGACAATGGAGAAATCACGGGTTAATCACATAGATTAAGTTTACTGGATTGATATATAGTCTGACAAAGGAGAAGCAATGACTTCTGTTCAGGATTGAATTGATGAATTGTCCGACAAAGAATTAAATTTGGTATTCAAGGCAGATTAAGTAGTTAATCAAGGTATGTGTATAGACTGTAGTACAAAACGATAAATACGTTGATCACCAAATTACCTAATCAATCCAGCCTATTATCAATGATAATCGGGTTGAGTGGTAGTTATACACTCAGTACACTATATTAATTTTGGAATTTTGAATATTATTTACCATATTCTTTAAGTGGCATTTAGCGATCGGGGAACACATTAACAGAACACAGTTTTTATGGGATACAATCACTAGTTTATTCTAAAAGCACGACGTTTCGACAAGTATCCTCTTATCCTCTTTTGTGCTTGATAACGATAAGAGGATACTTGTCGAAACGTTGTGCTTTTAGAATAAACTAGTGATTGTATCCCATAAAAACTGTGTTCTGTTAATATTATTTACCATGTCTTGAATATTATTTACCATGTCTTGATGTCTGATTCGGCATATTCCTGGTCGGACAATTGATGTTTGGAAAATAGCGTCGGACATGTCCGGAATATACGGGCAAAATCCCATCACTGTAGTGTACGTACAAAGGGACCTCACAAATGCTATAAGGCAGTTTGCTGTATAAGGCTGCGGTCACCATGGGTTTATGAGGTGCTGGTAATGGAATGTAGTCATTACAAGATCGGTCATGTAATGAATAATGGAAGATTTCAAAATTAGATATTAAATTTAAATACATTCCAAGAAACATGTAATTATCAATTACTTTAAATTTTGAATTACATTTTATTTCAAATAACAGTATTTCCAAAAATGACAAGCCTAAAAATTTAGCATCAAAGAAATAAATACATTAGAATTGAAAAAATAAAATTGAATACGTTTCAACAAGCCGTAGCAGTTTTAGTTAGTAAATTTCAGTTTTATAGTGAACCGTATTATGTAGATTTTATATTTGTTGTTGATTCTGTACCTATAATGCATTTGTTCATTATTTTTATTTTAAAGAAACTGGTGAATTGAATCAGTCGATGAGTTTATTATCAGCTTCTATGGATAAAACAATGATTGTATGGAAACCTGATCCTGAGGCTCATGTATGGGTTGAACAGGTACAGTTTAAAATAATTTAGAAATTTCCTGTGGTCAAACATATTTTTTTGATGAATAATTGCTCTGAAATCTCTCTTGTAAATTTGTGCACAACTATATTGTTACCAGTATATGATGAGCAAAACCACATGAACTGCAAATTAGTCAGTCAGGTGGCCAAGCCCAAGTAGGCTGCTGCATTGCACTTGAGCTGTTCCACTGTTATCTATCAGTACAGGGGTGATGGTGGCTGGGTAAGTATGGCAGCAGGTTCACTTACAACAAGGTCCAACTCCAAGGTTCAACTGTGATCGTGGTTGAAAAGTTCCTCAGGATATCCCAGTCGAAAATACTAATCGGTGTTTCGTGGTCTGATTAAAAATAATATTCACGGTACAGATCAAGCTAACACTAACTTATCTTCTCTGTAGGTTCGTGTTGGAGAAGTAGGGGGCAATACTCTTGGTTTCTATGGTGGAATGTTTGGACCAGATGGACAATCTATAATGGCACATGGTTACCATGGTGCTTTCCATCACTGGTCATTTAATGATGTAAGTAGGGTCTAACCCAGACTAAATTTCTTGAAAATGTTTTCTTTGCATCTTCGTTTAAATCAGAACTAATCTTAAAAGCATAGGCATTTTGCCTGTTCACCAATCTCCCATTCATTTATAGTGAATAAAATATCTCTTTAAAAACAAACCAACAAATTGGAGCTAATTTCTAATATTATATTTTTCTAGAAAACTAAACAGTGGGATCCATCTGTGACTGGTGGTGGCCATTTTAACTCTGTGGAAGATATTGACTGGGATAAAGATGGTGGCCAATTTCTACTGAGTACGAGTACAGATCAAACAACACGATTACATGCACCCTGGGTAGTTAAAGATAGACCAGTAAGAATTTAATAATTTACTAGATTGTGACACCTTTATTTAATGTCACAGTTATCACAATATCTCAAAATATTTTGAAAAGTCTGATTTGTACTTTTGGTAAACCAAATTCATTTGCAAGTAAGAAAATGTATTATTGATAAAGAGTTATGCTGTGTTGCTTTTGAGTTCTCACAGTTTATATCATGTAGTAAATTTAGCACTAAGCTTTTATGTTTAGCTCTGTTGGGACAAGTCACTTGTCCATCGGATATGGAGGTTACTATTTTCATTAGTAGTCACCAGGGCTCGCTGTCAGTCGCCAAAATCGCAATTTTCGATAAAAATATGAAAATGGCAATTAAAATTTGATTATGACGATAATTTTGGCGAAACAGTTATAGGATACTGGCGATTTTTTTTGAGAACTGGCGACAAAAATCTTAAAATTCTAGTCGTATATATATATTGAGTCTCAATCACACTCACGTGGCGAGGCTGCATACTATAAATTAATCACCTCGCTGATAATCTGGATCGTGCCAATGAGTAATACTAACCAATTGTCATGGATTAATGATTACTTGATTGATTATTGCCAATGATATATATATAGCCTGTTTCAAGACATTATTTACTCCTAATAATTAATCCAAGCGGTGATTATTTAATGTTTCGCTTCGTCTTAAAAAAATAAATGGGAATAATCAAAATGGCCGACAATCCTTTTCGAAGAGAATTAAATATTTTGATAGTTGAATTCCGTTTACTGTGGCTTCATACAGCATGCAAAATATACAAGCATGCCCTAATCGAATATTATTATTTCGAATTATATTATTTTCATGTGAACGTATATTGTCGTCACCCCTGTGTGACTTGTCACAATTTTTATCCATTTTGATGAAACTTAAAATTTATTTTTATATCCCACAGATCTCAGTTCCTTTCAATATTGGGGATCACGTGGCTAAGTGGGTAAGACGCTAGCTCGCTAGCCTGGAGGTCGGGTGTTCGATCCCTGCATTGGCCGAGAAAGTTCATCCAGATTTTCCGGCGTGGTTCTCCCTTGTCAGTGATGCAGGACGGAGGGGCTGACAAGGAAAGCTGTCTAGTCGTTCGGATGGGACGAAAAACCGAGGTCCCGTGTACACATTGGCGTGCACGTAAAAGATCCCTTGGCAGTTGGAATTCAATATAAGAGTAGGCCGTAGTGCCGCAGTCCGGGTAATAATTTCCCTCATAGCACACTGTATGGCGTAAGCCCGTCTTCATTAGCCCAGGTTAGGAGCAGAACAGTAGGACGTTAAACTCCATTTCATTTCATTTCATTTCCTTTCAATATTCGTGCAATTCAGACCATCTCTTGCAAAATGTGGGCGTATCTTGCATGGCAACTGTTTTTTAGTCATTGTGATTGATTACAGATGTTGTTAGACCATACAAATAGAAGAGAAACGAAAGAAATAAGTATTTATCTGACACTGACAGAATATATATGAGTGTAAAATTTATTTATTTCTAGGTAAAATGGTATGAAATAGCCCGTCCCCAGGTACATGGTTACGATTTACAGTGTCTCACTATGATCAATAGATATCAGTTCGCCTCAGGAGCAGATGAAAAAGTTCCCAGAGTATTTGGTGCACCCAAAAACTTTTTAGAAAACTTTTGCAGAATATGTGGAGAAAATCTTCAAAATGAACTGAACAAAAAGGTGTGTGTGTGATAGATTAAAATTCTGTTTTAAATTTAAGCAATTTTTTATATATATAATGAGAACTACACAAAACCTCAGTTTGGAAAATAGAAATACATTTTTCTCCTGTCAAAGGGAAAGCCATTTATTTCTATTTTCATGTTACTGTCATGTAAATGTTTTAAAAGAAGAAAGGCTTTCCAGTCCATTGGCAGAAGTATAGTTATTATCTCACTTACCTCGTGTCTTGATGAATATCGATGGTTAATTTAAACCTAAGAGTTAAGCAAGTTTATTTAATAAAACAATTTTGAACTAATTGAAGTATTCAAACTTTGGAATTCGTCATGATTTTAAAAAAAAGTCCAAAAAATCAAAAGGGTCCTGCGATTTCAAACTGGAGTTTGTCCTGCGATCTCAAACTGGAGTTTGTCCTGCGATCTCAAACTGGAGTTTGTCCTGCGATCTCAAACTGGAGTTTGTCCTGCGATCTCAAACTGGAGTTTGTCCTGCGATCTCAAACTGGAGTTTGTCCTGCGATCTCAAACTGGAGTTTATAAATGCAAATGACTTGCATTAGTACACTTATACCAGCATCTGTCAATATGTACAACTTCATATCATTATAGAGGAGATGACTCCCCTAGATTTATGATATTCAACAATGATGTATGAGACTATTCTTTAAATGGCATTTAGTAATTGGAACATAATCAAATAACACACTATTTATGGATAACAATTACTGTGGTTTATTTCACTGCGACGTTTCAACAAGATTTCACAAGTCGTTATCAAGCATATAACACATTTTATGCTTGATAACAACTTGTTATAATGACTTGTGAAATCTTGTTGAAACGTCGCAGTGAAATAAACCACAGTAATTGTTATCCATAAATAGTGTGTTATTTGATGATGTATGAGACTAAGTGATCAAGAATAGTAGCTCATTGTAAGCCAATTATCTTTCTCTTTATTTGCCCCTTTGGTTCATTGGGTGAAAAAAAACCATAACACCATTTGTATGGGAAAAAAATCATTGTTGCATTCACATAATGTTTCGTTTTCAATCACAAATGATGACTGAGTGAAAGATATTGATCCTAGACAATACATTATGTAATACAAGCAATACAAATGTATTTTAATTTGATTTATTAGGAAGCAGAATCACTACCAGAGGGAGCCAGTGTACCAGCTTTAGGTTTATCTAATAAAGCTGTGTTTTCAGGCGATGTTTCATCAAATATACAGGAAAATACAGAAGCTAAATGGAATGAACAGTACCCTGAAGTCTTTTTCAATCCTCTTTCAATATCAGGTAGATTTTTATTTTGAGTATGTGGAAAAGGATGTTTTGGATGATTGTATTCTTACCAACACCTTTTCTATACACAAAGATAGATATTAAATTTATGTTCCAGTTTGTTTTCTAATTGTCATTCATGAAGATGCCTTCTCGCAAAGCACATGACAAGGAGTAGGGTCGACTGACCAACCTCGTTTTTTTTCTCCAGGACCTTCTGTTTCCTCCCACTGCTAAAGACCCCTACGCGCAAGCGAATTATTGAAATAAAATTGAACCATGTGTTAGTCCCGAAATGACCTAGTTTGTGTCAATGGTTAAACTCTCTCTCTCTCTCACTCTCTCTCTCTCTCAAATCACATTTGTTTTTATATGGTTATGTTATCAGAGTTTCAGTACAAACAATCATATAACCAGTCTTTGTAAAATATAGGGAGGGTGATTAATTTCATATATAAATGAAAAAAATTGTTCAACTGTTGTTCTTATGGAATAAATTGAAATCATCTAACCACTCAAATGATAATGTCATTTTGTATCAAAATATTAATTTATTTAGCACCACCAAGTGAAGAGAATTTGTTACAGAATACATTATGGCCTGAAACTCAGAAATTATATGGTCATGGTTATGAGATATTCTCAATAGCTAGTAATCCTAGCGGAACAATATTAGCTACAGCTTGTAAGGTAAGTCTATATATGGTAATATGGTTCAGTCTTATTAAAATTAAATCTTTATTTCATTTCAGTAGAATGAGGGGTGGGTGGCAGAGTGGTCTAATACGCACAATGTAGATCACAAGGTCTATCATTAAATTAAGCGCTGGTTTCAATCCCAAACCTGTATGGGACAAAGGTTAAAAGGTCTGTCATTGAGTCAAGTGCTGTGGTTTTGAACCCAGACCTGCGCATAACAAAGGGTAGGATCATCGGCCTAATGTGTGGGTTTTCTTTGCGTCCTCAGGTTCCTCTCATCAGTAAAAAGCGCAACATGGAAGCAAATTATTGAAATAAAAATGTTCCATATGTTAGTCCCAATATTAACTAGTTTGTGTCTATTTTACCCCCATTTCTTTCTCTCTTCTATTCCATTTCGATTTTAATTTTTGTTGACCTTCTCATGAATGAGTCCTACCTGTTGTGGATTTTTATGTGTGTAAGTAAAAATCAAGCCTATCTTAATATATTTAGCTGAATTCAAAATTGAATTTTAACTTTGTATTTTTCAGGCAACCAAAGCAGAGTATGCAAATATATTATTATGGGATACAACAACATATAAACAGGTCGGGTCACTAGAGGGGTCAACATTAACAGTAACCCAGTTAGCTTTCTCACATAATGGACAGTATTTACTAGCTGTATCTAGAGATAGAACATGGTCACTATATTCCCAAACAACAGGTACAATATTTACTACCTGTATCTAGAGATAGAACTTGGTCACTATATTCCCAAACAACAGGTACAATATTTACTACCTGTATATAGAGATAGAACATGGTCACTATATTCCCAAATAACAGGTACAGTATTTACTACCTGTATCTAGAGATAGAACTTGGTCACTATATTCCCAAACAACAGGTACAATATTTACTACCTGTATCTAGAGATACAGGTACAGTAAATCCCAGTATAATTTTATTATGTTAAATACAAGGTATTTTGTATGGAACAGCATCTTATCTCACCACTCAAACTCGATATATTTTAAATTAAATAATTTTCTATCAAAAGAAATGCTTCTGGAAAGTTTGCATGGCTGTGTGATTTATAATAGAATATATAGCAACATGACAGACTGAACAAAGCTAAAATTTAGTACACACTGAGAATTTTATTTGAAACTAAATGTAACAGAGGAAAGAATGTAAAGTTTTCCTAAACTTAGCACATGCTGTTGTAAATTGAATAATGATATATTACAGGTGATAGTGGTTGTATGTTTGAGAAAGTAGCATATGTTGATAAAAAGACCACATCACATTCTAGAATTATCTGGTCTTGTAGCTGGACATGGAATGATGAATATTTTATAACTTCATCGAGAGATAAAAAGGTGGGTAGTAATTGTAAACAGGAAACATATTGTAGATCATATTCAGGAACAAGATTCTAGTTTCCTGATCTTTCTTTTCATAATACATGTATATATGAAATAATATTAACCTTGTTAATCTCAGGATGCCAGAAAATTTGAATGTCCATTTTGAAGATGAGCTTGTAAAAGACATAAATCTTGCAAATCTTAGTAAAAAATATTGAGGCAAAATCTGTTTGGGCTGCGTGTTAAGCACTCACTTGTTACCAGCAGCGGATCTGCTATTAAAATAATGAAGCTTAAGTCCTGGAGGGGCTCTCAAGCAATTTTAGTCCACACTGTAGATATGTTTTATGGATCAAACTGTTAGTACATGGAGTAGGCAAGTTTGTGGGTAATTTCCCAGGTAAAATCTGGAATTAAGCTCCCACTGAATTGGATGAGTGTAACTTTTTGTATTAACTTCGTTGTTTTCTTACCACTTATAACTGACACAGCTGAATATTTTTTTTTTTCTAACAAGGTTATGATTTGGTGTGTAAAGGATGTCTGTGATAAAAATAAAGTACCCAAACCAACCAGTATATTAGATTTAACTGATTCTGTAACAGCTGTAGATATAGCTTCAAAATGTTTTAATTATAATACGTAAGATATTCAATATTATATTGTACATTTTTACGTGTACACGGAATATTACAAGAACTTTAAGACTAAACTGTCAAATGATTTTTATAAATGCACTCCATGCACATTGAATCTGTACTTACTATTATCCCCTGTGTCAGTAGTGCAGGATGGAGCATCTAGTTGTTTAGATGGGATGAAAAAAAAAAAGATCCACCTTTGTACTCAATGGTGTGAGAGTTCTAATTCAATGAAATGTAGGCAGAAATGCTTCTATCCGATAAAATTTCCATGGTAGCAGACTGCATGAAGTTTGCCCATCTTCATAAGCCAGGTTGGTGTTGAACCCCATCTCATTTCATTTACATTTAGTGCTTATTTTTTTTACGTAGGGGAGAGCATTTTAAACACCCACAGTGACTTTTTACCAAGGAAATGGGATACAAAAAAGTTGTGTTAAAGTAAATAAAACTGTTGTCTCTCTGTGATATGGTTAATTATTACTTTCAGGTATTTAATCAGTGTTGGATTAGAGAGTGGTTGTATATTATTATATAAATGGAATCCAACAGATGTAGACAAGTCATGGACACGATGTGCAGCATTAAATAAATCGTATCCTTTTACTATTCACTTTATAGCCCAGATTTCACATTTTACCAGTTGATAAAGGGGAATTAGCTATACAAATAAAACTTATATAAGTAGGGAGCAATGGTGGCTAAGTGAGTAGGATGTTGCCTTGCTAATCAGGGGTGCACAACAGGGGGGTATGGGGGGGGGGGGGCACCCCCCCGAGCTTAGTCCAGATAGGCAAATGGACAGATTTATTTGTCATGTGGGCTGAGTAGTTTTTTTCGGGGAAATGGGCCGGTTTGCCGGAGTCTCTTACACATTTAATCAAACCAAAATGAGGCCTACAAATCAATATTCAACTGAGTCATTTAAAAATTACATAATTATTATACTGTCCCTATGACGTCGACATCCAGTGAGTGTTCCTTTTCTAAGTTGAAGTTAGTAAATTGGAGGATTTGCTAATTCTCTCCTTAGAAAAGGACCTCACTGATGCAATTGATCTTAACAAGATCGCCAGTAAATGGGTAAAATGCCCAAAACAAAACGAAGTATCACATTATAGGTATCCCAGACTTTAGATGCGTATATATAATTTCTATCGATATTTACTGAAACTGCAATAGCTCCAGTTGGCAATGTTCATACTGTCGTTAATCAAACCAAGCTTTCTTTCTGCCTAAGAATTCATCCATTGCCTTAGGTCATGGTTTGTGTACCCCTGCTGCTAACCAAGAGCTCCAGTGTTTGATCCCTGCAGTGGCCAAGAAAGTCCATTGGGATTTTCCGGCGTGGTTCCCCCTTGTCAGTGATGTAGGACAGAGGACCTAGCAAGGGACAACGTATAGTCATTCGAATGGGAGGAAAAACCGAGGTCCTGTGTATACATTGGCATGCGCATAAAAGATCCCTTGACAAATTGAATTCGCAATAATAGTAGGCCTTAGCACTGCTGTCCAGGCAAAATTTCCCTCATGGCACACTGCATGGAACATGCCCGCTTCATTAGTCCAGTAGGAGCAGAACAGTAGAACGTAAAACCCCATTTCATTTCATTTCTTATGTAAGTATGTAGACATGGCTGTCAAGGCACTTGGGAATAGTTTGAAATTTTGGGATGTTTCACCAAAACATAATCATTGCTTTGAGATTGTATCCAAACTAAAGGAAAAAATATATTTGTTGATGAAAAACACATTGTGAATTATATTTTATCTTAAATCTAAATCTATTTTCCTTAATTCTTTTCTAGAGAAGCTCATCATTTAGCTGTGAAAAGGTTAAAGTTTCGGCAATATCTTGGTCTAGCACCAGACAAAAAGGGAGATAATTCATCCATATTACAGTTAGCCAGTTGTAGTGCAGATCACGGTGTTAAAATATATAATATTCATTTAGATAAATTATGATATTTATTATTTTCTTTTAACATGTTTCACCTTTCATATTATAATGTGATAAACAGATTAAAATTATCTCCTGTTCTTTACTTGATGGCAGGGTATGCTTGCATCTTCTGGAACACCAGCAAGTTTGAAAAAACTCTTCAATTAAAGATACATTATGGGAGATAAGATAAAGAGATGGCAGTTCTTGCTATAATAGTTAAAAACTAGATAGTGTAAAGGTAATTTGCTGAAAATTTCAGTCAAATTGATCCACTATGGGGTTCATTCCAGGAAATTTGAAAACAAACAGAGCGATTACAAGTTTTCTTTTTAACACAAGGTCATTATGTGACCTCACACATGTGCTTTAGATCATAGATGGCAATGAGTCGGGTCACCTGTCCAACCTCATGGGTTTTCTTCAGGTCCTCGGGGATTTTCTCCAAATGCTAAGACCTATACGTGCAAGCTAATTATTATAATAATATTGAACCATATGTTAGTCTGGAAATGACCTAATTGTGTCAAATGGATGGTAAACCAACCTCTCTCTCTCTCTCTCTCTCTAGTAAAAACTTCTGAGTGACAAAAGAAAAATAAACTTGAAAACTCTGCCCTATAACCTGTAACTGATTGCAAGGTTTCGATGATAAAGACTCTGTGAACTAGTTGCATATATCTGTAGAGTGATTACAAGGATTTGCACAAACCCACTAAAAGATTGACCACAAAATACCATTACCCATGTGAGCTATAAACACTATTTGTCATGTTTACATCCCTGTGTGTAATCAACCTTGAGTGTAATTGAGTTGATAATCTTTACCTGATCAACCCGAGATTGTAAGGGGGATAATAGTCTTTAAACTCAACTTTTCTAAACCTGCACCACGTAAAAGGGTGATTTAGATATGCAATATAAAGGGGATATACATTAATGAATTCAGAGTAGACATCAGTCAGTCAAATCTCATCGATAATCCTCCAGATGACTTTAATGAACTTGTTGACCTATTCAATGCTACTCTGTCTGAGTTATTAGACAAGCATGTCCTACTTGAAACAAAATGTGTACAAACCTAAAAGTCAGTCCATTGGATTACCACATAGGTGCCGGGCAGAGATAGTGGAAAAAGACAAAGCTTGAAATTGATAGACAACTGTTTAATTCAGCCCACAGTGACACAAACAAACTTGTGAATAGATCAAAAGTTGATTATTACAACAAACTTATTGAAGATAATGTGGATAATCCTAAATGCTTTACTTGGCAAGACTGAGGAATAGGATGTACCCTATCCCAAAGGAGACGATCTGAAAAATGCAAGAATCAATACGGTTATCAACATAATCAGCAAGATCCGATCAGGATATAATCCAATATCTGATAGAATTGTTGCTAATGATTACATTGGGTGAAAACTTTGAATCTTTTGAACCAGTCAGTGAACATGATCTTAAATGTATTACTCAATAGTCTAAACCTACGTCATGTGATCTGGATCACATTCCAACCAATCTTCTGCTTCAAGTATTGGATGTTCTTCCTGTAGCAACTAGAATTGTTAATACTAGCTGAAGTATGGTATTGTACCTCAGTAATCTTAACATGTTATCATTAACCCCCTTCTAAAGAAATCAACACTGGATACTGAAGTTCTAAAAAACTACGACCAGTTTCAAATTTGCACCTTTTCTTCAAGATCCTTAAAAAGGTGGTCAAACTGCAACTTGTCAACTTGCTAGAATGAAGTAACCTATGTGTTAAATTCCATTCTGGGTACCGAGTGGCACACAGCGCAGAAACTGTTCTCAACTGTGTACTGAAAGCAGCAAGTGATCTGTTAACAATGATGACGTGTCAATGTTGGTAATACTTGATTTATCAGCTGCCTTTGACACGATTGACCATAGGAAGCTTCTACATCGTCTTGAATGTGATTATGGCATCAGTTCAGTTGCCCTAAATTGGTGCTCCTCATATTTGTCTGGAAGGTAACAGGCTGTAGTAATCGGAAAAGCCGTCTCAATCCCAGTGACACTTAACATTTACTTCAAGGATCCGACCGTGGACCAATACTGTTTTGTCTCTACACTACACCCCTTGAACTGTTGATTTGGCATGTGATTACCCGTAAAAATATTTGTTTGTGGACACTCTACAGGTTACAGTTTTTATCCCATACGATTACCTCCTAAAGATCTCTGTTCCTTTCAAAATTGGCATCTAACGGATCGTAACTTAATGGATTATAGCCCCCGATTTTTTTCGAAAAATCACGTTGTTAGCTTGTGGACATTTTAGAGATCACAATTTTCATCTGATATTGAATATTGATGAAACTTGAAATGTGTGTGTATAACCCAAAGATCTTGGTTCATTTCGATATTCGCGCATAGCGGATCATAACTTCGTGGATTATGGCCTTTGATTGTACGAACATTTGCATTTTTAGCTTGTTTTCCCTCTAGAAGTCACAATTTTTTATCTGATTTAACAAAAAAAACGTTCGAACACATTACTGTCGATCCTCCAGAGATCACAAATTTTATTTTGATCCGATTTTAATGAAACTTTAAAGTTATGTTTATATCACAAAGATCTCAGTCGATTTTGATAATCGCGCATATCGGAACGTAACTTCCTGGATTATGGCAACTTGTGGACCCTCTAAAAGTCACAATTTGTAGTCTTTTTTAAACACAGATTAAATATATCACAGGGGTGTGGTGACCCATGATTATGCATGAGGAACAAGATCCCGTCCGCCCCCCCCCCCCCGCCAAAACAAAACCCCCAAAAATATGTGTGTGCAGGGAAGGGGTGGGGTGGCAACCCCTCCCAGTGATATTGGCCTGTGTGGCATATGCTAGAGCTGATTTGTATATGTTTGACACTGGTTGAGCATGATGATTATAATTTGGAAACCAAATTGAACCTGTATGATTTTATGCAATTTGCGAGGGGGGCGCAAAAACTCAAGAGGGCGCAAACACTTTAAACCATTACACAAAGCTGGTCGTCGCGTCCCTCTCACTTAGCCCCCGATATATAACTGTTACACCCAAATGAAGGTTGAGATCGAATTTCGTAAATATCCGACCGAAACTGTCAGACAAAATGGTCGCTCCTTGTATGCAAATAGTCTAAAAGTATGTAATACTAAGTTTGTTGACCTCTATAGCTAGAAGTCACAATTTTTATTCGATTTTGATGAAACTTGAAATGTATGTTTATAACCTAAAGATCTCGGTTCCTTCCTATATTCGCGCATATCGGATCTTAACTTCCTGGATTATGAGATTTATAAAACCGTTTAAATATATCACCATTACACCCTAATGATGGTTGAGTTCGAATTTCGTAAAAATCGGACTGTAAAAGTATGTTATACTAGGATTTTGGACCCTCTAGAAGTCACAATTTTTATCTGATTTTGATGAAACTTAAAATATATGTTTATATCCAAAAGACCTCTGTTCCTTTCGATATTCGTGCATATCGGACCGTAACTTCCTGGATTATGGCCCCTGATTGTACAAAAAATCACATTTATTTTTAACTTGTTTTCTATCCATATCCTGCAAAACGTGGGCGTGTCTTGCATGGCAACCGTTGGTTCCACCTCCTGCTCGACTCCAGAAATGTGAAATCACTTCCCTTAATGTCAATGATTCAATTATCCCTTTCGCTTTATCTGTAAAAAAAACCAAAAACTTTTCTTATAATGGATCAGCTACTTATGGAAGGTCTGCGCTGTGCCAGAATCGTCACTGGGCCTAAACTGCGTTCTCACATGTCTTAGTTCTGAACATTCTATATTGGCTTAGAATTCAGGAACAGGTGGAATTTAAAGTACTCTCTTTAACATTTCAAACTGTCAAAAATGGCTCCATCGTATCTACAGGACATTGTTGTTCCAGGTTCCCTACGTTCTAATGGTCAATATCCGCTTGAGAAACCCAAATACAAATTGAAAACATTTGGAGCCAGATCTTTTTCATATAATATCTCTGCAACGTTTTGGAATTTCTTACCCCTAAAATTCAAGTCTGCTGAAACATTAACTTCCTTTAAATCAAACCTCAAGACCTATCTTTTCAAACGTTGTCTTTAAATAGGACATTATCATGTGTGTTTTGTCTTGTAGCATGCTTGGTGTGTGGTCAGCACTTATGAACATTTCCCTATTGTGATGTGGATTTTAGCGCATATTTTAAGTGGAAGTATAGATGCATTACAAGAATCGAATACACGGTCGTCCATTCCACGTGCAAATTATATCCATCGCATTCACACAGTGGGTGTAGGCTATGTCATTATGCATATAGTTTTCCAATTCGGTATCACGGGAAACCACCATCGATCCTGGCTTAATGGTAACGGATGTAGAAAACAATTAAAACTTCACTTCAATGCTGAGTAATATAATTAGCCAGAAATCTCTCAAAATGCGTCCCCCCCCCCCCCCAGGAGCTTCAGGAACCTATGCATCAGAAATTACTTCTGCCCGGCCGGCTCTGCAGTTGTCGATTATATAGAGTTTGTAAAGAGTGTCTCCATTTTAATGTTTTGGGGTTTTGAAAAGAATCTCAGCAAGTTTGAAAGGCAAAATGTCAAAAATGCTGACTTTGATTACAAAGCTTTTAATGACAAGGTATTAATTCCAAAAGTAACTGATGGGCGGCTCTGAATTTCAATAGTGGCCATCGTTTTATCTCTGCCCGTTCCTAAAGGAACTATCTGAAAGCTAGTCAAGCAATTTCAAAAATTCTGGCCCAGGAAGGTACTGATATTTAACTCTTCAAGTGAAATACGAACGACTGTGAATTTTGAAAGGGATCATACCGGCTAAATTGAAAATAAGCAATTTCATACACATAATCCTGGATCTACGCTGTGGTGGGAAATGAAAGCTGTAGAGTTTCTTTTTTTTTCTTTTTGTGGATAGACCGTTTAGAATAATGGTATTCTGAAATGTTTCTGCCTATACAAAAAAAATTCTTCTGACCCGCATTGCAGAGAGAAATGTACGTGTAGGCTTCCGTACTTCTAACGTTTTGCTGCGGGAAAGATACATTTAGTGGGGCCTACAATAATGCAACAGAATATCAAAATATTATAGATCACTGTTTATATACATTACAAAGGTCTTGTGAACAAGCGTGGGGGACCCCTAAGAATTAAAAGTGCATGGAAATTTGGAGAATTTGGTATTATCGCACGCTAAAATTAAACCATGTTGATTATTTAACAATTAATTAAGAAATCAAAATATTAACGCTAGATAAACTCCGGGTTGGGTTCAATCGTATTAGCAGGAGTCATATCAAAAGATTTTCTCTAGGATTAAATAAAGGTACCCCACGGTACCGTATTTCTGCATGTTGACCGTATCCCGTTTATATCGTCTGGGGATGCCGAATGTTAACAAATGTTCCGTCATATTTGGAATTATTGAACCGGTTTTAGATTGATATTCTTTTCATAAATTCACCTTTCACAATATTGTAGTTTGCAAGGGATTTCTCAATCCATATAAATGACGTGTTTATAGACTTTATAAACGTGCAACGGTAAATCTCTTTAATCTTTGGGGTATATTCTATGCACGGAATAACTTGAGGTCTGAAAGTCGAGGGCGGCTTTGAATATATACAGGGGAATTTGGGGTTATTCTTCTGAAAGTTTTTCTTTAAACCTGTAACAGGGTATTCTTCCAGGGTAGGTTTTTTTTCTCCATAAGAAAACGTGATCTAAGGTTTTTCTTAGGGGAATTATGGGATATTCTCATTTTGCGTACATGTAAACCTAGACGGTTTATAAGCAAGATAAAGTCCTCGACTTCGGTTATGCTGGGGAAGTAAATCTTCAGAAAAAACCCTCGACAGAAAAACCTCGGCCTGCCGGCCTCGGTTTTTCTTTTTCTCGGATGATTTTCTTCAGTTTTTCTTTCCCCAGCATAACCTCAGTCTCATGCTTTATCCTACACTTAATTTTCAGTGGTTTAAAGGAACGCCCATGAAAATACCTTACTTTAACTACGTAGGTTACAACATGGATTTTCGATAATTAGCTAGATACGTCTAGGCCTGCGGTTATTTTGAAATAAAATATTAAATAAAACTTTAAAATTTATTTTCTTGTTGCCTAGTCTACAGTACATTGTAGATTTTTCTCTCTTTTTTTTTTTTTTTTTTTCTTGTAAATTACAGATTTATCTCTCTTTTTTGCAAACAACCTAAATACCCGATTCCACTCTATACTCATAAAATTCAAACTGATCAAACTGCCGACCAGCCAAATTAGAGTACCGCTTGGCGCTTTAATGTTTCCGTCCATTTCCCCGCATAAATCTAAGACGCGGAGTCGTGATACTTTAACTCTACTTTCAATTTCCCGCAATTTTTGAGAACCGGAAATGGAAAAGAATTCCCAGCGTGCTTTCCGAAGCAATGGAGGACATAGCTGGTAATGTAGCTTGTTTTCTCTCGTTTTATGACATTTTAAGTGGAATTTCTTATCTTCTTATGGAACGATAAAAGTAGACCATAACGAGACATAACGGCAAAATGGCGATGTTGACGGGAATGTCACAGACTTGTTGTAAAACGCCCTAGATATGGCGTTAGCAGGCAGGAAGTCAGTATGTCAGGTGAGATTGACGAACGGAACGTTTTTCTCATTAAAGCTGTCAGTCAGGAGTAATTTAACATCCCGACGTTCTAGCAGAGAGCTACTACATGTTTTCAATATTCATATCAATTTTATAGTAGAAGATAGCTTTATTGTACAAATTCTACAATTAATTATTTTACAAAGACCGCTATAAGATCAGAATATATCAGCATCATGGACAGTATTCTGTTCTGACACTGACAGCCACAAGTCATCAAGTTCAGTTGATGATGAGGATCAAATAAAAGAGAAGGTGGGATGGGCAACATGTTTTCTGAGTTATCATGCATTCACTTCGACAACCAGATTTTCTACTTGGCATATTAAACTTGTTATACAAATTTTATTTATGATGATCATCATGTGGTCAGGAAAAAAGTTTGGCCATAATTGCCATAATGATATTATTTATTTTCAACTTGCCTTGAATTGAAGTACCGGTAATAACAAGTCAGAATACTATTTTCTTATTTAGAGTATGATTATATATTGTTAATGTCATTACTAAGAAATATGTGTAGAAGAATCTGATATACATGTAGATATTTAGATAAATGAATGAGGAAAAGTGATTTCTACATTACAGTACCGGTAGTAACTACGAGAATGTAACTAAAAACACTGAGATATACTGATGTGCTTGTTTTTAGCTACAATTGGATGCCTTTAGTTCCAAGTGGCAAACTCAATTTCTTTATTAATGCATGTACCATCTTAAAAATAAGTTAATTTTATACTATTAGTACTTATTACACATATGCAGTCCAATCTACTGAAACAACATTCATTTATCAGCAAATATTGACAATAAAGTAAATCAAGCGATGTTTTTATCAAAATTGATTCAGACGTTCATAATTACGGCATATTACTACTGCGCAACTCTGATCAGATTACATGAGGTACTTTGATTGGCAATTGCACACGATGCCCCGCCTTTATGTGTTACAGACGTAAATTTAAAATGTCGGAAAAAGCAATCTACTGTCGCTTTGATTTAAAATGAGGGGATTTGTACCCGTTTCAGGTACATTAGGATTATATCCTTAATTGTAGTTGGGTGTGGCAGAAATATTATAAATAACAATAAATGAATTGTTGTTTTGATTAAAAATATTGTCAATTTTGTTTACAAATGCCGGGTGCGAATCGCTCCCGCATGTGCTACGTTGTTGATGTCAATAGCACCATTTCTTATCTCGAAACACACAGGGTGGAGAGATAAGGTTTGTTATCTATACTGATAGTTACTTAAAATTTATATAATCCAAAAATCACTCAGGCGACACCAAACATATAATTTATAGCCGAAACTTTTAGATAAAAAGAAAATGTGCATGTACAATACTTGCACAGCATTGATCTACTTGTTACTAAATATTTGTACAGTAAAAAGTTATTTTTAGTTCAAGATTACTATGAAGAGGTGCAATATATTTTGTTAAATAAGATCTTGCATGCCTACATCCCTTTTTCCTATAATTGAGGCCTTCTAAATCTCTTTCCTATTAAAGAAATAATATTTTATCAACACACCATTTAAATGTATCTGATGCCCCTTCTACTGAAAGGAGTTATTCATTCATGGCTAGAGTGGGTTTTTTTTGTATATTTATTTTCCTTCATGTACATGTATGGATGTTGTTTTTTTTTGTTTTTTTTTTAAACATTATGTGACCTCTTTCATATTGCTCTTGCATTCATTATGAAATTTAGTTATTTTCATTGCTGATTGGCGAACATGTACACATTTATTATTGTTACACTGTTAGCCCACAAATTCTAATTTAATAGAGACTTGAGAAGTTAACTATTATAAAGTTAGTGTTAAATTTTTTTACTACTGATCATCATGTAAATGTCAAATACATGTACATATACATCAAATGTAGGCAAACAAAACTATTGTTATTACCTTATGATGTAAATTATAGATAGTCTCTATTTGGAAGTCTTCAGCAATATGTTATTTTACGTTTAATCTCTGTGGTTTATTCTGAAAATCGTATAAAAGACCCTGTAGTTTTGCAGATCTTTCATTTATTATAAGTATAACTTCATAAGATGATATATGTTCATTATCTTCATTCACTGAAATTCATTGATTCAAACACAGAGAATCCCTGTATTTTATTATTAAACCATTTGGAGTTATTCAATAGAATATTCAGTCCACATGTATACACGAACACATCTTTGGTAATTAATTCAAATTTTTATTCAATGGTTGGATGTTTTTTCTATCAAATGTAAACAAACTGGCTTCGTGAATGTCATTTGTCTACAGGTACATGTAGTCGTTATCATCAAGTTCATGTTATTGATACTAGAGTTCAGCAGGCTGAGCGAAAGACTGAATGCACACTTTTGACATGTCTGGAAGTATGTACTCATTATAAAGTTATGAGCATTATGCTTATGAGAATGCTTATATTTAAAGACATGCTATGTACACAATCAATATTTTACTGTGCAATAAAACTCAATATCCACCTTGTAATACTGCAAATGTAGGTCCATCTATCCTGTTTATTTTATGTCGACCATAATATTATATAAAGGCCATTTCGGTATTAGATCTATTAGTATTAGGGTTATTTCCTCATAACCTAAACTGAATATACAGTGCACATACATGCACATGTATCAGTCATATCCCATGTATTTTAATACACAGTGTACACCAACTAATCATATATGAAGGCAAATGAATGCATGCTCTACAGGTAGATGGAAATTGATATGCGTTTTAAATTTATTTTGTTTGTTCTAGGTTTGTCAATAAACAATATGGATCAACATTTGAAAAAGAGAAAATTGCTGTTTGGTCACTGTGGAGTAAAAAAGAAACAAGGCCAGATTTAAACCTGCTTAATGATGGTTTTGCCAGTAAAATTATTCATGTTGAGTTGACAAGTGTGATATTAAACTAGTGAATGGTTTTAATTTTAGAATTAGAATGTCTGTTCCTGAACCGTAAAATGTGTGTTATTTTTTTTAAAATGTTCAAAATATAAGTGTTCAGTTCAATATCAATATAAAAATGGCGGAAGCGATGCTGCCTAAAAGTAAGAACTCAGACTACAGTTCTGTGGATGATTTGTCTATTCCTGTCACAAGAAAATCAAGTTTGTCAGATATAGAGACGCCAATACGCGAGAGGTCAAACAGTGACTCGACCCTTAACTTTATGAGTGAGCAGTCATGGTCTGTGCTATCGGTAGATAAATATAAGTTTACGATAGGTAAAGATAGATATATTACTGTATCCTGGGATGTAAGAGAAGATGTTGGAGCTAGAGACTGGATTGGTTTATTTCCTAAAGGTTTGTCCCATTGATTTTGAAACTATGTTTAGTGACCTATCGAAGCAGAAATGCTGCCTTCCATTGCTTAAGTACATGTATCTACGTAAGTGTGTTTTTGTAAAGCTCAAAATGTAGTTTGACATTGACTTTACATAATGCAGTAATCATGCAGTGAATTTGAATAGATTTGTAAAAACCTCAAATACATGGGTTGTTGTAATGTACATGTACCACGTAATATAAGCTTATTTGTAGGTGACATTTTTCTTATCTGTGACAAAATTTATGCAGCCATATTTTTCTATTTGCATACAATTTACATATCCCTATAGACTGTCTGCAGTTCTTCTAATGCATTATTAATGCATTGTTTCAATTTTCTCATTTAAAGAAGCATTATGTAAGATTTAGATAAAGAACTGGCCGTTCCTGCTATAATAGATCAAAAATACATAATCAAAAAATAAAAATATATATGTATTAGAAATTCCATTCAAACTACATTATTCTGGGCAAAGTTATGACAGATTGACGGTGTGGTGTCCTTGACAATCGATAGTAAATTTTATTGTTAAATTTTTAAAACTCGCAGGTATTTGAATCTTGGCCATCCGATGAACTAGAGAGTTGGTTATAGGCTTGACATGTTAGTAAATGTCTAAATAATAATTAACATAAAATTTTGTCAGAAAAAAGACCTGCAATTGGCAGGTACATGTATACATGTAACTCTTACTATAATGCATCTTACATGACTGTTGTGATTTACCTCCTCACTTGGTTATAATTGTGCTGTTCTTTGATGTTACATTACTGACAGAAGACATGTCCAGATTGTACTGGTCACATCAAATGCAAAATTTACTATTTGAATGCTATTCGAATATTTGATTCCATTGTATCTTCTCCTATTTGTACTTCTCAGATTGATATAGTTTCTTTTGAATTTGAATATTAATTTTATTACTATTGAATAACTGATTGCCCAGTGCCAAAAAATTCAAAAAAACAAATACACACATTTAAATATATGTGTAAACACTACATGTACTTTGTTGCTATTGCAAACCATAGCTAAGACCAAGAAAAACACTTTAAACTGGCTTGAATCTGCACATTCAGCACACAGGACAGAAAACATGTTTTGAGATGTAATTTCTTTGCAACTTAAGAGATTTTCAATAATTCTCATGCCAGATTAAATTTATCTTGCACGATTTATTGTACATGTAATTAGTGCATTATCATGAAATAACTATTACTTTCATACAGTTTCTGTAGACTGGAGTTAGCCTAATTTCTCTTATACATGTACACATTTCTTATACATGTGTTGACATTTATTGATTAATTTCTAAGTTTGTGTAAACATGATCAAGAACTTCATGTATATAATTATGATACAATTTACAAAATTTCTCCCTGCCTTCTTTATTCAAAATCCGGTGATAATTTTTGAAAATTATTTTCAATTTTAGGTGAAACAGTTTCAACTAAATTTGTTGATTGTAAGAATCGTGGCGTCAACGGAGGTCATACCGGTCAAATTCAATGGGATATTGATGCCATTAGTCATAATTTTATAGAAGGTGAGAAACAAATTAATGTTTTATTGTTATTTTTACATCATTATCAGACTGATAGAGGATCTTCTCAAAATACAGGTCAAATCTTTCAGTGCTCAATGTCCAGTTTCCGCACATAAGTGCATAATGAAACACTAAGCTACTTGCAAGACTATGGATGATGGAATGGACTGCATATTATATTGTCTTCAGTAGATCTGCATATTATGTTGTCTTCAGTAGGTCATTAATGTAATTTCTTGATTTAGAATTTGTAAAGACCATGCTCATTTCGGGGAACTTGAGTTGAGAATTGAAATAACATATCATTCCCCATTGTGTAACTATTCCATTGAACAGATTATTTATATTTACAGCTGAATCCGAACTATGTTTTAAATATTATCAAGGGAGTACTGGAGATGTTTTAGCTACAAGTCCTATGATAGTTCTCGTTAATCCACATCCAGGAAGAAGGGTAAGATTAGAATTTTTTTTTAAACATTTCTGTTTCTTTATCCTTGAAAATTGCAGCTGAATAAAACAGAATAAGATATGTTTAGATTGTCATAATAATAAAATTTTTGCGAATATAAATGGACAAAATAAAATGTAAAGTTTAAGATCATTCACAGTTAAAATTACATGTACACAATACTAAACAACAAAATTGTTTAAAAGTCCTTTAAATGTATATCATCATTTGCCCAATCTAATTAAAATAAAGATCTATATTTCGTTTCGTTTTTTATACTTTCGATGGCCTACACTACATGTAGATCTAACTAACAAGTTATAGTGGGAGTTCACGTTCTATGCTTTGTTTTGATTTCTATTGCCGCTAATGTCTACCCACAATTCCGTGCAAAAAAGGTCAAACGCTCGATTCGACAGACCATTTGATTGGCTGACCCCTCATTTCAAGCAGAACACAAGTTAAATAACAACGCTTCCAGATCCAACGACCAAGTGTAGTAAAGACAAGTAAAATCGAAATTTTGAACTATAAAAACGAAACGAAATTGGATCTATGTTTTAACCAGATTGTCATTTGCCCAAACATACATGTACAATGTAATTTATAGCCATTAGTTTCTATTGATCTCTTCTGCCATCTTGGTGTGACTGTAGTCTTTCGAAATAAGCTTCTAGTTTTTATTGACTTTATGGCTATTGGAAGTTTACGTTGGTTTTAACTTTTATCTAAAAAAAAAATTTAATTTAATTTCATAATGAGAATTTTAATGTTGCCTCCTTAATTACTAATAAACCCATACGCAACTACTAATTGTTTTAATTAATTATGCTGATCCTGTTCCCATTTTCTAGTTTGTCGTACATCTATGTTGATATAGATTAAAAGTAAGCTTACTACATAATATACTACCAAACTACTACAGTTGGTCGATTGTTTCAATGTTTGATTTTCTCTAATCAACTTGACCCCTCATTTCCTTAATAGGTCGCTATTCATGGTCAACCAATGGAAATTGGCCTATTAAATTAGCTGACCTCTGATTTCCTGTAAGACAAGCTTCTGCTCTTCTTCAAACAATGCTTCTGCAGTTTTCATCAAGAAATGTTTACGTGTGGTACATAATATGGGTTGGGATTTCCAGGTTTTCTATGCCATTTACGTGAAATTGGAGAAAGGGAGTGAATGTGAATGCTCTAAAAATACACCCCTCAAGTATCAGTTCCTTGTTTTATGAATTAATTCATTCAACTTCAAGTTTCATTAACATTATTTCAAAATGACACACTTTTACATCATTGATCCCAGTCCCTACCCGTTTAAAAATAGAACCTATTAAATGAGAGTATGTTAATATTAAACTTATTAAACTTTGGCATGTGAGCAGAGATGTTGTGAATGGATATGAACAATGAAGATAAATGTTAGTTTTACTATTTGAATATTCAGTCATTATTTGAATGCTATTTGAATATTCTGTTCAAATCTGATTATCTGTTTTAGGCCTACCGGTAGATTTCTTGAAGTTGTAAATTTTTCAAATCATTACATTTTCTTTAATTTTTGAATATTAGTTGATTTCATAAGATTAATATTTTTATATACATGTATTTTCTGTAGACAAAAGAAAAATGATCAAATTTCTATAGTCTTAATTGACATTCAAATTCAAATATTGTAATTTTTGACCGCGTACTGTTAGTTACATGTACACGGTAATACATATTTCATTTAGAGGTTGTTCATTAAGATACATTTGTTAAGATGATTCTATAGTAGAAATAATAGAATGTCATATATATGTAATTACTGTGAAATGTAACTAAAATAAATCAGATACATGTACCCATGGGTCTTAATATAAAACCACCACAACATTTTTTGATTAAACCAGTTACAATTGAAAACAAAAATATATTACAGTATAGTAAAATAACTAAAGCCAATTGTACCGGTACATGTATAAAATAGAAAACATTGTTTGTTTATGCTAGAGGGAAGACACAAATGTATTAGTTTACATTTTATTAAAAATGTCTTGTTGAATGACTAGGCAGTTACTATTGTACATACAGATATAATCATTTGATTTATCACTATATTTATCTTGGTTTTTTTTACAGCTGAAAAAATTTTGTGATTCACATTTTAAAGGGGTGTTATTAAAGAGCTAAATCTGCCTATTGTGGTTCTTTTTTTTCTGGCTTCAAATATGAAATGTTATATAAATTATTATTCAGATATTTATTCACATGATAAACCCATAATCAACTCGCTAGACCATTAGACGGCTGAGATATTAAGTGGATTAGACAATAACTGCGGTATATTCTTTAAAATGGAAAGTCGATACATCGATTATATTGTAACAATAGTACTTGACAATAGAGACTATTTGCGTTATTGGTTGTCAAAATTTCAAACATTCATAACTTCGCTCAGAACAAAATAATTAGACTGAAATTTTCAATATATTCATTTTTCATTATTAATTTTTGAACTATTATAAAATTATAAAATGACCAGCTCTTTATCTAAGTATTACATTTATGCATCTCTCAGGTTGAAGTAAACCATGTGCATGTCTTAGTCTACAGTAGTTACCAGTAATTAAACATTAACTAATCTAGGGCTCTTTCCAAAACAAGATAAACTCATGCCAAAATTTGTATACAGACAGCTTCATATGATAATACCAAGGGCATAAATATTTAATTTATAACAATATTTTGTTATTTTACAAATAAATGCTATTTAATTTATTTGAACGATTTGGAAAAGAAATCTGGTTTGGTACCACATGCTTCGGTTTTTGCTGATAACAAACACACATTAAAGGAGTCACCCCAGATATATTTTTATGAATCAGACGAGTAAGAAACCCTTATGCTAGCCTTGTACTTCTTTTTCAAAGAAATACAAACTTTCAGTTTCCATACATGTACAATATGTGGTTGGCGATAATGTAATCCCCAAATTCTGCGCTCTCCCTACATGTAATTGCCATGATAGCCATGTGTACATACTTGTATTATTTATAGTGTATATTTTTGTCGTCATTACAATTCAACAATGGAATTCCTTGCAAAATTAAATTGCACAAAAATTTGTTACCAGACAGCATTCAAGTAATTAATGCACAAAATTTGACCAGTTACAATATAAATTTCTGATGTTTAACAGAACATAATATCCTTTACTTTGAACAAAATAATCAATTGGAATGTGAAGTTGTTGTCAATGTCATGATTTTTCAAAAGTATGATTTTATTTGATATCAAGTTGTCTTTATATAAGCTCCCTTTGTGTCATACCAATTTCAATATGTTGATATTCTATACATCACATAGCATGTCAGATTTCAGTAGAACATTTATTGCAAAGATATTACTAAATAATATAGCAACAAAGAATTTAATAAAATGATTTGCTTTGTGTACATGTATAGTCAGTGATAACATTATTATAGTCAGCCATTGTTTTGCAGTGTTAATAATCCATCAGCATTAATGATAGCTCACAGACAGACAATACTTGATTACTTAATATCAGATTCGAGAATAAGAAAACATGTATTATTTTCTGATTTGGATTTATTCAACTTTGTAGTTCAAAATGAAAAGAAAAACTAGTCAGTGCAAAATGGTGTAGTCACAAAATCGAAGAACCAAATTTGCTGCTAGACTTCCTGGTCTTACTTGTATAATGTTCAGATCCAAATTTTTATTTTAAAAAATCCTAAATTTTAACACCAGACCACATAATTGAATGTGAAACAATGTTATAATATATATTGTTAATACAATGTAGGTAATTGAATGTAGATAATATTATGTGTAATTAAATGTGAAATATAATATTATATGTAATATTTATATCCAAGGGTAGTATGTTATTGAATGTGAAATATATTATATATAATTTTTTTTTATTGTAGGGTAGTATATCAGTTAATGGCTCATCATCACCAGAAGAAGAAGATGCGTTATTTCGTGTTATAATAACTGGTAAGTATAATAACGAACTACTTGCATTTATCATTGTGGTCTGATGCACACTGTGGATCACAAGGCCTGTTACCAAGGAGTAGGGTTGTCTGACTAACCATATTGGTTTTCTTGGGCTACTCCCCCCCCCCCCCAGTTCTAAAGACCCCTGTAAGTATATATTGATAATATGTTACTAATTAACTACTATACATCAATCAATTTATCATGATTGTTTAGTATAATATTACATGTACATGTTATACTACTATCATATTATAATTGGATACTGGTTTGAGGCTATTAGGTTATCACATTATATAAACACTGTTTTGTAGTTTATCCAATGATTTCTACACTACAGTGCTGGAGTTTGGGACTATAATCGCCGAACACCGCGGAAAAACACTCTATTTCACGGTGGAATCTTGGAGAATCGCTAGCGAAACGGCAGCTAGCCAAATCACCGCGAAATAGGGTGTTTCGCGGTGAATTATGGTATTTCGCGGTGAAACACGGTGAATCGCTTGAGTGCCGATATCATCCCGATGTAAGCATGTTGACGAAAAATGTAATTTATTTAATTTGAATACAAGATATGTTAACCGTTGGCGAGGCAGCTACGGTCGTATTTCTAACACACTGTACATGTATAACGTGGTGCCACAATGTACGTGTATGCAAACAATGAATAACTTACAATTTTTTAAACGTATCATTTCATCTTATTGGCTGCTATCAAATCCAAACTTTAAATTATATTCGATGAGATTTTACACATAACTTCATTACTCGCAGCTTCAGTTAATCTAAATCAACCATTCATAAATCACAGTGCCATACATGTAAATCACTCCGCAATGCGGTTAACCGTACGTCATGTGGTCAGAAACGCGTTAAAACATGAGATGTTGGGTTCGACACGGGGACTATATATTCTTAGACTGTGTTACTTGGCAAAAAGTATTTAGCAAATCTTGACTGTCACCGGTATATGATAATAATGCATTATGACGTATTAAAATAATATGGGTGGGAGGGGGTACACTGCGAAAGTCACAATAGTGACAAATAGAACTTGCAACCGGACAAATCAGACATAAGAAGCTCGTACTTACCGCAAAAATGAAATGAACGCGACACAAGTCTCCGATGTCAGAGAATATTAGTAAAGTATAACCGCTATCAAATCCACACAAAAATCCAAGGCACTCATTTTATTTTAGAAAAGAATAACGGTAGGCTCGATAGAAGAGCCTATTCTTCATGAACCCCAAACCAATGGTAACTGTCAACTTGTGTGTTGTCATTCTCGTGCAGATTTGTTTGAATAACAGAAATGTCCCGTGTATCAAGATCAAAGAATAAAATCGCACGTAGCCACTCTTTGTTGTTTTTATGCGAATTCAATTAATCTAAAAGGGGCCCCGGCGCAATTTAAGGAATTATTTTTGAGCCAATATTAACCATCGCCAATTTTTTAAATCATGGGATAAAGTCAATTAACAAACAATACGGGTCTACTTTATTACAAAAACATTGGTGAACTTACCATTTTGTCTAAAATCATAACGCTAATCAACAAACAATACTATTGTTCTTTATTACAAAAACATCGGTGAACTATATTGTTTTTGTACATATTGTATTTATTTATTTGTTTGTACTATATGTTATACCTGATGAGTCTTTGGCTTAAAGGAATAAAGAATTTGAACTCGAACTAATTGGTTTGAAATTCTCAACAAATAACCGGTATAAATGCTTCTAACACTTTATTTAATTTTCTCTGTGTATAAAGCGTTCTGAAATATAAGATAAACAAAGGCTCTCAGAATCCCAACCCGACATAAATATGCAATATTCTTGAAAGGCAAACAAATAACAAATATAGGCTTACAGGCATAAAACACAATAGATAAATCCTTAACCTATCTTTACTAATACCTTTCTTCATTTCACTTATTATATATAGCCTAATAACAACTTAAGTAACTATTTCACCGAATGACATTAAACTCTGTTAAATACATATAAAACAGTCATATGATACTACTGCGAAAATCTTAATAATTGAATATGTACCTGAAGGGTAGATTTACCGGTATTTAAAATGAAACGACTAGTACACAAATACATGGAAACATGTCTTCCTCTTCACATGTATGCACGAAATAAAATGGCGGTAATTTTTACAGGGAGTAACCATGGGAATTAATTTACAGGGAGCATTCATTAAAACGAAATAAAGTATCAACTTTTAAATGTCAGTGTCTGAGTGTCCGTATTTCAAAACACTAATCGCTGTCGGGATGGCGAGCCAAGCTAGTTGATTATTAGGTAAATGAAACAATATAAACAACCAATGAGTAAAAGTGATCTATTCTCATGAATTAAATAATATAGAAGTCAAGTACCGGTATTACCTTAACCGTGGACGGGTTTGCTTGTGGACGGGTTAACGGACACTCAACTTACAAATATTAAATCATCGCCGCATTGGCACTGACTGACGGCACTTCGTGCACGGACTGTTGAATTCTCGTTTAATTTATTGTGTTAATTTCACTATTGTTTAAAATGTAAACAAAATCTTATCTCGAGTACGTACATGTAGTACCGTATATCGAGCTAGTCTAGTAAGTAGTAGGCTTGGTTAATCCAGACTAAAACGAAAGACCTTTCATTGTATTAATAACATTGGCTTCTGGTAGACTCGATTGTCATCTAAGGGATTATATTTTATTTACGCAGTCTATTTATAGAACAGTAAAACGATTGTAAATATTGGCGCGATAAAAATTTAATTATAAGTCCAAGCTATTGTTGATAGAAAATAATAATGATTTACGTGTATCATAGATAATATTAAGTAACAATAGAATGAAAATACTGTTTGTTGTTTTTCGAGTTTTAGGCCATTATTACTTATTTTATGCATATTTTTGGTATGAACTTTTTTGGACCAGTAAAATCTCATTCGGTCCAGCAATAGTTGGAATAATACCTGCCCAAATGTCCAGTAAAAAAAATATCATTTCGCATGGACTGCAGGGTACATGTATATGCAGTAGGAAATCGACAAGTTGGACGTACAAAAGAATGGAATCATTCAGAAAGTGTACTCAAAATAAGTAAATTATAACAGGGTGAAGACGAGAATTAACACACTCGTGGATATTGTATAAATATATGAGGCGCATGTAATGTACACGTATGTGTGTGTGAAATGGCTTTATTCAATATCTGCTCCCACCGAAATGAATTGGGTGACATAAAGTAGATGTATATTGTCACAGCGGATATTATTCACCGAGTAAAACAGCGTAAGAATATACATGTAGTCCCAATCTTTTGGCGCGTTTCTGACCACGTAACATACCGTTAAGTGACCCGCGGAGTGATTTACTGTACGTGCTGTATGGATGATTGATTTAGATTAACCGAAGCTGCGAGTAATGAAGTAATGTGTAAAAGCTCATTTATATAATTTAAAGTTTGGATTTGATAGCAGCCCCAAATTGACGGATTACATCTAAGTTATAAACGAAGATGAATTGATATGTTTAAAAAATTGTAAGTTGTTCATAGTTTGCATACATTTTGGCCGGCGTTATGTATGTATAAAGTGCGTTGGGGAAAAAATCCTAACCGATACAGAATGCCGGTAAATGTCTTCCCAAGATTACCTAACTCATTTGTTATTCAAACCTGCCTGTACATTATACATGTACACGTTTCCCGGGAGCATTACTATATTACAACTCCTTTAATTTATTATAGACAATATTGGTTCAACCTTAGCTTAAGGTAGGCTCGCTAATTCCTTGCGGGAAGCACGGCAAAACACGATGTATTCTTATCGAAACACGGTGAATTCCTAGAGAAACACAGTGAATTCCTAGCGAATCTTAGAGAAAAATCGCCGCGGAATCAAGCGAAATTTCACCGTGAAATCTAAGAGAATTCTGAGAGGTTTTTTTCACCGCGTCGCGGCGATTTCGGTCCAAAAAATTTGGGAGGAACTGTATGTACATGTAGTACCAGACATGTTAGAGTTCAGTGGCTTTATAAATGTGTTGCTACATTACATTACCAAATATTTATGTTTACAAATGGTCACTAATAATAATGTGTATATGATTAGGTAGTTGAATAATTGTAAAATGATCAGCTATGTACCATATGTCGTGTTTAATTGTATATAAAATCTGTAACACTAAACTATTAACTATGCAGTATGTATATTCCATTAGAATGAAATATAGCCATTCATAAATTGAAATATGTAGATCATTCATAAATTGTAAAATGATAAGGTATAACCACATGTTGGGTTTACAATGTAATTGTATACATAATCTGTAATCCCAAATTATTAAAGTAATGATGCATCATTTGCTTTTTTCGCTGAAATTAATATCTCAAATTTTCACTGTTCACCATCTTGGATTCAATCTGATTTAAAAAAGGATTATCAGCTGTTCGCCCAGAACAAAATGACAACAGGCTTATTACATAGCGGGGAGCCACGGTGGCTAAGTGGGTAAGACACTGGCTCGCTAGGCAGGAGGTTGCTTGTTCGATCCCAGAATTGGCCGAGAAAGTTGATCAAGATTTTCCGGCGTGGTTTCCCTTGGTAGTGGGTGCAGGACGAAGGGCCTGACAAGAACAGCCGTTTAATCCTTCGGATGGGACGAAAAACCGAGGACCCGTGTATACGTTGGCGTGCATGTAAAAGATCCCCTGCCAGTTGGAATTTGATATAAGAGTAGACCATAGTGCCGCTGCCAGGGCAAAATTTCCCTCACAGCACCCTGTATGGAGTATGCCCATCTTCATTAGCCCAGTCGGAAAAGAACAGTAGAACATTACCTGTATACCCAATTTCATTTCGGGGGGTTGGATGGCCAGATGGTTAGCACGTGCATGCTGTATCATAACGCCTGTCAATGGGCTGTCATTGAGTCAACTGGCATGGTTTCGAATCCCCAGTTGTACGTGACAAGGAGTAGAGTCGCCTGTCCAACCTCGTGGGTTTTCTCCTGGTCCTCCGGTTTCCTCCCACTGCTAAAGACCCCTACGTGCAAGCGAATTATTGAAATAAAATTAAACCATACGTTAGTCCTGAAATGACCTAGTTTGTGCCGAGTGGACGTTAAACCCTATTTCTCTCTCTCTCTCCCAATTTCATTTCATTTATCACATAGCGAGCAGCATATATCAATGAAATTTCAATTCAACATAACTTTATAAATATTGAACGATATTCCTATTAGAGATTCATCTTTCACAATATTGCATTGTGCAATGGATTCATATTGATTCTATTAAAATGAATTTATTCCCGTTCATAACTTGCTTTAAATTTGCGTTCTAAAAAAAAAAAAAAAAAAATAGATTTTCTTGATAATTCAATCTGTATACTGTATTGACAAAAACATTGATTATTCCAATGAAAATAATGAATCAAAAAACACCTGTAACTAACATTATTAATGTTTAATTTTCTCTCAATAGCTGGTACATGTACCCATACATGTATCTTGAATGGTTCATTTCCTTCTTTCACTTTTTATCGTAGTCCTGGTTACATTTATCACAATCTGTAATTACCTGTATATTTCACTATGTTAAGCTAAGTAAGGATAAACAAGGCTAGAGGAAGTGCTGTATTGATACAAACATAAAAGTCATTTTTTTTTTTTTTTTTTTTACTGACAAGGCATCAAAACCTAATTTATTCACACTGTAACCCATTTATTATTTAATCTTGTGTATCTAGCACTAATTTCTATCACATTCGTTTAATATCCAATCTTTGTTTAAAAATTCGTAAAAACTGTTTAAAATTGCCATAAATCGTTTAATTTGTACTTCTGACCATTCAATTTTGATAATGAGTGTCCAATTTACAATTGTTTAATTTCTCAATCACTGTTAAAAAATAAACAACCCAATTGATTAATGATGTATAATGATTAATTTTTGAACAGTGGTCAGGAAATTAAATACTTGTAAATTGGACACTCATTATCAAAATTAATCAGTACAAATTAGATGATTTTTAAACAAAGATTTGATATTAAACGAATGTCCAAAAAAATAGTGCTAGATAAACAAGATTAAATGATACCTGGGTTACTGTGTCAGTGGGAATAAATATAAGTTCTGAGAGAATGAGGATAACATTAAAAAGATCCGCTTTGTTGTGTGCCAAAAAGTTCGGTGGGATTTTTTGTATGTATTGTATCATCCTCCCATGACAGGTTGCTATTGATAAATCGCTACCATGCCAAATGACTATTATGAATTAGACAACAAATTGTTTGCTCATGTTTTTGGAGAAAATGTTATATTTCCAACCAGTTAAAATGCAGGACAGAATTACTTTTACTTAGATAAGGACTTAGACAAAGGCTCCTTGTCAGTGGTGCAGGATCGGGGGGGGGGGGGCTTGGCAAAAGACAACCAAGGTGGTCCCTTGTACACATTAGCATGCACGTAAAAGATCCCTTGGCAGTTGGAATTCGATATAAGAATAGGTCACATTGTATGGCATATGCACATCTTCATTAGCCCAGTCGGAGCAGAATAGTAGGACATTAAACCTCATTTCATTTCATTTTTGTACTTTGAAGGTTGAAATTAAATGAGGAAAGGGGACTTTATTAATTAGAGTGATAATTTTGGTTTCATTTTTAATGTCCATAAATCAGTATAACTACATATAATAGACAAATGTATTCTTTTAGATCTTAAAATAGAACTAGAATGCATTGTCCTACATGTATATGTGAAGTAGGCTGCTAAATGTCAGAATGTTAATAAATTAATGTCACATGTACTGATCTTTATATCCATGTAAATAACTTTTAAAAACCTATGAACGAAAAATCAAAGTCCATTTAAAACTAGATTATACATGTACATGTATACATCAAGTTTTGTTGAAATAAAAGAACAATAGGAAGCCTGTAAGTAATTAACAGGGTACTTTATTATACAATTTCAAAGATAATAATGATGCTCTGTGATATTGTTTATTATTGTTCTATAAACTGTACAATCTTTGTTGATTTGTTGGAAGAACACAATACTTAATTGCATTATTATCAAACCTGTTTTTTCATTCGATGATATTGCCATTTTGAAAACTTTTGTTGTCTGTTTCAATTAATTATTATGTTTTGATGATAGTTGTCTTTGCTAAAAATATTTAATGTTGAAATAATGCCAACTGTCAACGGTTTAAGCAATGAAACAACTAGAATTAGATTACAAACCAACTACCACTCAATTTTTCCTGACAAACGAAATGAAATGGAAATGGGGTTTAACGTCCTACTGTTCTGCTCCTATACTGGGCTAATGAAGACGGTCCATTTAATCGTGTAGAGCTTGTAACATCACTAATTAAATTAACATATCAGATCAACTTGCATGTACATTATTAAAAGATTTATTTAGACCTAAATCAAAGAGGATTAGTTCTTTTAAAGTTCAATATTCCAGGTTATATTGATTCCATTTTATTTTGACAGATTTGGAGGCATCAAACCTAAAGAAAGGAATGTTTTTTAATCCTGATCCATATGTCAAAATCCAGGCACTACCTGGTAAATTACAAGAACAAAAACCACATCATATGAAGGATGTCCGCTCATCTATACAATCTAATACAACAAACCCTCACTGGGAAGGGGAGGTAAGTCTCAAGAAAAATAATAAAAAATAGCTGTGTCAGGGATTGTATCATTTACAGAAACAAGGGTACATTTGTGTCATTTTATTATGGTCATGTTTCATGTATTTATTTCACAATCAGCTCATTTTAAACAATACACATTGATAAATAATGACTTGATGATGTCAATTAATAGTACATCACAAGACTTTATGATTCAAGTGATCACACTGCTTGTGTTTAACTTTAAATAAGACTTATCTTCAAGCTGAGCAGAATCAGATGGAATCATTTTCTTGTGGATTTTGTGTTGGATATTTTCTGGAGCATTTTCATTACTTGGAGGTCATTTTCACATTTGTCAAGTGCTGTATTGTTCTAACCCTCCCCATAACTATTTGCCTAGATTTAACACAGTGACACAGACACCTAGAAACTCAAAAGGAATAGTTACTTTTAATGGATACTGTGTAAGAGGATTCAGTAAAAACACATATTTATCCAAAAATATTCAAATTGACAAATACTTAATGAAGGTATATGTATGGCGATCTAAAATTCCCATTGCTTGTTAATGGTTCCATCCAGCCATCTTGTTTTTGTCTAAGATCATAGCTGATACCGTATCAATATTTCATTTATATCCATGCATATGGAGCTCAAGAAGCATCTAACACAATTTTTTTGTTATAATCATTTAGATTATATGTTACTATCTAAAGAATATTTTGAATTAAGGTCCATATCTGCATGTCTGTTGTATGAGTAAAAATGTTTTATAGACATTTTGAAAATAATTAAATGAAAATATTAAATGATATATATTTTTTTTACTTTTTGACAGGTATTCACTGTTGATGCCAAGCTTTGTGATATTTTAGATTTAGAAATTAAAGATAAATTTTCTAAGAGTAGACCAACTATTAGCAGATTTCTAGGAAAGGCTTCTGTTATAGTACAGCGTATCATGGATAAAGTGTCACAATCACAAAGGTAATTTGGATAGAAATATCAATGAATAACATACATACAGCCACATATTCCTTTTCTCCCATCATTTCTCAAGTTATTTATCTTTATTTTTTTTTTATTTTTTTTTTTCTTAAGATATTTATCTACCTTAAAATTTCCCTTTTCACAAAATATTTATCTTAAAATTTCCCTTTCCAAAAGATATTTCTCTTAAAATTTTCCTTTTCACATGATATTTCTCTTAAAACTTCGCCTCTTTCCACAAGATATATCTCTTAAAACTTCTTATCTTTTCACAAAATATTTAAATCTCTTAAAACTTCTATTTTCACAAGATATTTATCTTGCAATGTACTACTTCGTTGCATGCCAGTTATCATTAGAACATGTAGAGTAGATGTTTGTAGGTAATTTGATTTTTTCTATATTTTCAGTCCTTCAAACTTCAGCATAGATTTATCAAGAAGAAATCCATCAGATAATATAAGTGGAACTTTGAAATTTAAGGCCAACATACAACTTATTATCTCAGGTTAGTTAATACAAAAATTTATTAGTCTACAACACTTGGCTCTCTGACAAAGTTTACTTAAAATGAGATTTTTAATGCCTTGTTAAAGTGGTGATTTGTTTTCTGAAGTTGGTAACAAATATTATAGATCAGTAGTAAATTTTATCCTAGCTGGATGGGGGGGGGGGGGGGGTGGATGGCTGAATGGTTAGCACATGCGCGCTGTATCATAAAGTCTGTCATTGAGTCAACTGGCGTGGTTTCAATTCCCCGGTTGTACGTGACAAGGAGTAGGGTCGCCTGTCCAACCTTGTGGGTTTTCTCCGGGTCCTCCGGTTTCCTCCCACTGCTAAAGACCCCTACGCGCAAGCAAATTATTGAAATAAAATTAACCATATGTTAGTCCCGAAATGACCTAGTTTGTGTTGAGTGGACGTTAAACCCCATTTCTCTCTCTCTCTCCTAACCGGATGGCAAAACTACTACATCAAATTTTGTTTTGGACCTCTACTTTGTTAATGAACCTTATTAAGATCAGATGTTTTTTCAGATGGCTTTTCATTTCTTTTCGTTTTATATTCCATATTTTATATTTTACCAGACATGGGGTGTACAAGTTGTATCAATGTGTCAGTAATAAAATGTGCTATAAATCATAAGGTCTTGTCATGGTCAAGTAGCTTTGTTTTGATCCCACTTGTATGTGACAAGCCGTAAGGTTGCCTGCCTGCCTAACCTCATGGGTTTCCTCTGGTTTTATTACAATCTTTATCTATTATCAATTATTTGTTTCAGGTATAAAAAATGAACAAACAAAAAAACGAAAAAATCACCAAAGAAAGGCTTCATTACCAGCAGATCTAGATCCACAAGTTAATCAGAATAGAAATAATCAACATCGACATCGTCACACGGACCCAGGGTTCACGAAAAATACTGAATCTACATGGAAAAATACATCAGAAGTGATTGAAGAACAAGATGTGTCTATAGCGCAGTTAACACGAGGCCGTATTACAGATGAAGAGGCTGCTGTGACTAACGAAGATAGTGCGATCAATGGGAGTCCGCCAAATACATCTGTTGTGCCAAATGCTGCATGTGCTGGTTGTCACAATCAGACTGATAGTTCGGATTCGGGCACATCATTGACTCTGGTCTCATCCAGTGATAATTCGGGTGGCTCGATTACGTGTACGACAGCCACACCGTCTATGAATTTACAAAATAGCAGTGATAGTCAGTTAGGCCAGGATATAACAGAGACATATAGCTTCGGTGGACAGGCGTCTCTAAGTACAGGTTATAGTTGTGATGCAGAAATTGTGAATATTGTTGACTCTGCTGTTTGTAATGCAGAAAACTCAAGTGATCCAAATTCAAATGTGTGGGCTAAACCCAAGAACATGGTGTCTCAATCTCAAAATGCAGCTACGTCGAATTCTAATTTTTACACAAAAGACGCTCAACCTCCCATTTTACCTCCCCGAACTTATGCTGCAAAGGTTAGAGCCCCACCCCTTCCTCCCCGTAAGAAACCTGTAGAAGCCCCTCCCCTCCCTCCAAGAAAGGCTGAAAAGATAACTCCTACAAAAGGTCAACCTGGATCAAATACAGGAAGTCCAAATTCTTCATTAGGAGAGGAACCCACAAACAAATTAGAACTGCCTCCCCCTCCCCTCCCCCCACGCACATATAGCCCAATTCACATGCAGCTTGGGACAGGAAGTTCAAATACAGAAGAGGAGATTCAGACAAGTGATAGAAATAGTTTTAATAGTTTAGAAACATTTACTGGTTCACGTGAAAATTCTCGACAAGATTTGGACGATGTTCTTGGTGCTGAAGGTGGAGCGCCTCAATCTGAACCAGTAATTGTGCGGGAACAACCAAAAGAACTCTCCAGAGAACAAGAAGTCTTCCCATGGGGAGCTAATAGTGCTATGCCTTCACAAAGATCTAGCATCTGCTCAAGCACAGATTCACCTGATCTTGCAAATGTTCCAAGGCGACATATACAAAAAAGCCGCAGTAGAAACTCAATGCCTTCACTGTCAGATCAGTTGGCGCGAATTCCATCAATAGACTCTGTTGTTTCAAACAGCCAATCAGGATCTGGGTCTCAAGCTCTCATGTCCAGATCTTATATTAGTCCTTCAGATAGTGCGGTGTCAACCACAGTTTCTGGAGAGACACCCCGTGATAGAGGCCTAGGAACGGCAATGGGTGTGACTGAATTACAGCGTAAAAGAAGAAGTCACGATGGGGCTTCTCCACAGCGTTCAGCTAGTTTCAATAGTGCTCCTGTACCATCACTACAACCTAGAAACCGTGTTTTATCCGAAGAAGAAAAAGAACAAAATAGACTTCAGATTTATCAATATTTACAATTATGGTCAGAAAGGGCCAAAGGCAAAACAAACATCTCCAAACCTGAAATTCAGGTTTCTGGCCCTTCCGGTGCTACGATAACAGAAAACGTGCCAAATCGTGGTTGTGAAAATGTGACTCCACCTCCTCATATAGACTCGTGTATTGCTGCATCGTCAGCGCCTAATTCAAAACAATATCGTAAACAGGTGGCTCATAATCCTAAACGTGATAGTGTGGACGGTACACCTACTTCGTCTGTTAGGCCTGGTAGAGATTCGTCTCAAACAAATAATGTGTGGCAGTCTCGAAGAAATGATTCCCCCAGTTCGGGTGGTGCTGGCCAGAGAACATCTATGGCCTCCTCTACTGGTAAGTTACAGTATAATCTATGCTTTACTATAAATCTATGAAATGGGGATTAAGGTCCTACTTTTATCCACAAACTGGGCTAATGAAAATGGGCACTATAAAACTAATATTGGGTTAATTTAGAGGGCCTCAGTGGGCCTGATTAGGCTGTATTTAACTAACTTGTATCCAGGAACAACAGCTCAGGAATGGTGCTTAAAACAGAACCATTGGACACTGTATCTCAAAAGGCCATCCATTTTCAACCTATGCTACATGTACATGTACATGTAGCTAGCCTTTCGTGACTTGCTTTTCCTGCATGCCTCAAGCTCCTGGGAGACACTTGGGGTGGCAGCAGACATAAAAATTGGATAAACTAACTATAAACTAACCTTTATAATGAGTCCAAAGTAAAAACAATGGTTAATAAATGGATACATGTACATGTATGTTCTGTCACAGATTAACAATCCGATGAAAACAATGAAAAACCTGACCAATTAAAATACACATCCTATTTCATTTCCTTATATTTCAAATTTCATTACATTTATCTGGATCTGGGACAGATTTTTAAATAAAATGTATTCTGTTTGAAGTGGTCTGTTTATACATGTAACTGAGTTGTGCACTGAATAGAACAAAAGAGAAAAAACAAGTCATTCAGCATAGTTCACATATAATTATATGGCCCCTGACCAACTGCTCAAATCTATATGTAATGTACATTGTCAAAATTTAGATGAGTATTTAATGAGATGGACGATAAATGTCTGATTTAAGAAATAAGTAAATGGTCTGGATACATATTCAATCACAGTTATTAACCCTTATATTTCACTTGTTTGATTGATATGAATTATATTTATAGGAAGTGACAATAATCCAGTTTTATTACCTAAAGTTCCTGCTAGAAAACCTAAATATAGTCCTGTTGACAATAATACAGAGGAAGAACCATTACCAGCAGGTAATAATACATAGCATTACCATCAATCATAAACATCAATCATAATTAAAATATAATAAATACAATAATGGCATATAATAGTACATGTATGTAGATTTAATTATGACAGCATACCAAAGTAACTGGTGCTGCTACAGTAAAGTAGTATCAGGTGTTTAAAACAGTAAGCATATGCTGCTTCATGCACGGCATCCATCACTACTATAATAACACATAATTAGTTAATTACAGAGAGAGAGAGAAATGGGGTTTAACGTCCACTCGACACAAACTAGGTCATTTCGGGACTAACATGGTTTAATTTTATTTCAATAATTCGCTTGCGTGTAGGGTTCTTTAGCAGTAGGAGGAAACCGGAGGACCCGGAGAAAACCCACGAGGTTGGACAAGCGACCCTACTCCTTGTCACGTACAACCGGGGATTCGAAACCACGCCAGTCGACTCAATGACAGACTTTATGATACAGCGCGCGCACGCTAACCATTCGGCCATCCAACCCCCCAGTTAATTACAGAAACATAAATGTAGGCTAATGAAATACATCTGGATCTGTGATAATATTTTGTACTCCCAACTGAAGAATTGCACGGATCCACAAAGGTTGCAATTAATAGTTTCCATTGTGTTGCTGCGATCCACAAAGTTGGTAATAAACCTTACCATTGTGTTGTTTTGATCCCCAAAGATGGCAATTCAAGTCTTCCATTGTGTTGTATTAATCCACAAAGGCGCATGATGGAAGAAAAGTATAAACAAGTGAAAAAATGCAAGATTTTAGCGAAATAAAAACAAAGATAAAACTCTTAAACTCCATTGATGCCATACAAACATTTGTTAGTTTGGTTGAATTTTTATGACACTAAATTGAAGGAGTAATTTAGAATTGGTTGTAATATTAATTGTAATATTTTGTAGGCTGGGAAGCAAGGGTTGATAGTCATGGTCGTATATTTTATATTGATCATATCAACAGACAGACAACATGGCAGAGACCACAGAGTAATACTCGTACAGTACATCGTAGACCCACAATTAGTTCAGAACAGAGACAGCAACTAGATAGAAGGTATGTACACTGATTTTATTACAAGTGGAACTTAAAGAAAATGAAATGAAATGGGGTTTAACTTCCTACTGTTCTACTCCTACTGGGCTAATGAAGATGGGGGAACTTAAAGGCACTGTTCTGGTTATTCCAAGCTCTGTGATACTTTTTTTAAAAAAATAAAACGTTCATTTTGTATGTAATGTTTGGCTGTAAATTCCCAAATGCCTCATTATATAAGTTCCTGGATAAACATGTCTATGTTTTGTAAACTTAAGGTTGTAAGTGATCATCAGGATTATCAAGACACCCATGCAATTGAACAGTGAAATTCCTTGAATGAATTACATGAGTCTAACCATATTTCCAAATACCATTGTTTTTATTTGAAATCTGGGACTGCTCCTGTAACGCAGACATGGATAATAAAAATCTGCTTCCAAACTTTCAAATAATGATTTCTTTGACGGTATACATTGAATTATGTGTATGGATAACAAGGCTGATTATTGAAAGATATATTTATATGTCCAAGATTTCATCTATTTAAAATTTATGTTACAGATATCAAAGTATCCGCCGAACCATCACACAGAGTCGAGAACAAGATGGAGGATCTAACACGTCTATGGATATGCCCCCAGGTAAATTTATGTAGTGGTAATGAATGGGGGTTACGTATGCTTACAATTTCTAGTATTCTTAATACCCCATCTGAATTATTGATATCAGAATTGACAATTAGATTCTATAGTCATTTATACAAAATTTCTAATTATATCCTAACTTATTTACTTCTATCGTGCGATTTCCGAACAAGATGTATATTGTTAAAAATGATCTATTTGAAATAAAATATTTTATTTGTAGTATCAACACCAGAAGTTAGTCCACAGAGTCTAGTTACACAAACTCCAACAGAAAGATCAGTGTATAAATTACCAGCTGTTAAATTTCTTATTAGACCTGATTTCTTTCCTATGTTACAAGGCAATGAGGTAATTATCAATATTTTCATTTATGGGTTCTTTTTATTAACCAGTTAATAATGTAAATTTGTATTGAATATGGTTAATATTAAATTATCCCTAAGTCTGTATCCCTAAATTAAATGAATCGAATAACAATTACTTTAGTTTTGTTACAGCGACTTTATCTAGACTGTTGACTCAAAAATTATGAAATATGGTTTGGTTCCATATGAAAAGTGTAACTCAAGTTTAACTAATGTCAAACTTCAGTTTAGATAACTGTTGCACATTCAACCTAAAGTTTTGTTTGATTCAACTTAATTGGTTATTTTAATTGATTTCTGTCGTTCATTCAAGTGTTTGTTTTTGTTCAGATAGAAATTGTAATTTGTTTTGTTCATTTCAGTTGGCCTTAGCAGAATATAATCGTAATTCTCAGCTCAAACATATGATTACCAGAATCAGGAGAGATGCTCAAACATTCGAAAGGTGAATTGTCTTTATTAAAAATCTAATGTAGTTATGTAGTTATACAGAAATTTGATCTTAGGCCGTATAGAAAAAATAATCTGGTTCTCCTATACCAAATGAAATGAAATTGGGTTTAACGTCTTATTGTTCTGCTCTGACTGGGCTGCGACAGGCATACACCATACAGTGTGATATGAGGGAAATTTTGCCCGAACAGTTGCACTACGGCCTACTCTTATATCGAATTCCAACTGCCAAGGGATCTTTTACATGTACATAGGACCTCTGTTTTCTATCCCATCCAAAGGACTAGTTCTCATATTCTGCTGTATCACTTAAAAAGAGCTGCAGAGTCCTGTATTCATTTAAAAAGCTTAAAACATTTAAACCTCCTCATTGATTATTAGTTGATCATATCTTTGGTGTAGGCTCTTTTTGTTTAGCATGTCCATATATTATGGATAGTTTAAATTATTTTAGAATAATATTTTTTTTTTTGTTATTTTCTAGATATCAACATAATCGTGATCTTGTGATGTTTTTAAATCTGTTTGCTGATATGAGTAAAGAAGTACCTCGGCGTTGGGAGATGAAGTTAGACAGGTCAGGAAAAGTAAGTGATTAATATAAGAAAAATATTGACAGAGAAAACATTTTGTTTGGTATAAGGATTGGTCATGTTTTGTTGATCACCAGCTTAGGTTTCACTCCACCAAATAACACAGTACCACATGAACATACCTTATATCATATATTGTTCCAAATACATATCTCCTGCCTTTTTGCTTGTTCTTTATCCAAAACAGTATACCTACCATGTATCGACATTTCAAGATTATTCAGAGACATATAATATTGACAGGTAATGTTGTTTGGGATACAATACCAAACATACAATCGTTAGAAATATCTGGGATACATATTGAGAAAAACAATTAATTAAGCATTCAGTAAATGTATAAGAAAAGGTGGAATGTTCTTTTGTTCAGAACACTGACATAAAGCAGGGCCTTATTCAGATTCCCCATTGGTATTCAGCCCTCAAAATTAACAATCATTGCCTAAGTAGTGTCAGACTGTAGCTAGCGAGAAAGACAGTTAGGGCTCTTAGAGCACCCCAGAACCCAGGTGGAAGTTAAGGGCACGAAGCCCCTAAATTGTTGTTTTTTGGGGCAATTTTAATAACAGTGAGCCTAATTAAGTAGACAGTCATGAACTGAAAAATAGAATTTCATGAAAGTATTTTTAACTTTTGTTAACTGGTATGTAACTAAAACTGTATTCCTTATATCCAAACTTTACTTTATATCATAGCCCCGGTTGTATGTGACAAGGAGTAGGGTCGCCTGTCCAATCTCGTGGGTTTTCTCCGGGTCCTCCAGCTTCCTCCCACTGCTAAAGACCCCTACGCACAAGCGAATTATTGAAATAAAATTAAAAACTATATGTTAGTCCCGAAATGACCTAGTTTGTGTCGAGTGGACGTTAAACCCCATTTCTCTCTCTCTCTCTTTATATCATAGATTGTTTTATTGTTTCTTGATATATTACAGACATTTTTTATCGACCATAAAATGAAGATTACAACGTTTATAGATCCTAGATTACCAACAGATGTACCGTTAATTAATACAGATTTCTTACAAACACCATTACCTAGAGGACCAAACAGAGCTCCACGTGAATCATTACGTCTTGATGCTGTAAGTTTATTGAATTATCATTTCCAAATATTACAAATAAATGATCAGCTTCTCTATATTAAAGACCCAACAAAAAATAAGGGCTTAAATATGTTTTTTTAAGCATTAATAGACAATTAAAACAAAAAATCTAGGTTAGATAGCATGTTTTCCCCTATGTTTCTGAAAAGAAATGAGTTATGATATGTATAATATATAAACTATAATACTGATTATATTACAGCCTGTACCACCACCTCGTCAACCTGTAACAGAACCAACTAATACAGCTATACCTTCAGGTAGGTCGGATTCTTCTTACATCTGTCTTACTAAACTATTTACTATATCTAAAATTACTACATCCTGACTGCATCATTTTAATTGGTGCAGAAAAGTAGGACATTAAACACCATTTCTTTTCATTTCACAACCAGCATCCTAATTGCTAATTAAGATAGAATGATGTGCATTCTTGGAAATAAATGGCTATGTTTAGAGTTCTCTTTTAAATTGTCAAATTACATGATCATTATTTTCTCTTTGTTACAGCATATAATGAAAAGGTTGTGTTGTTTTTACGTCAAACTGAGATTGATGATGTCATTAAAGAGAAATTCTCCTCGTATAGTAGTAACAGTTCTTTACGTGATAAAGTACATAAAATACGAAACCATGGTACAGAAGCTCTAGATAGATTGTGTAATGATATAGATTTAACAATATTATTAAGGTAAGTCAACTGGCCACATATAGATAGTTAGACTCTAGAACTTGTGAATGCTATGAACTGTTTAAAAGCTAGCACTGATTAGTGATTACATTGCTCCTTTAGTGTGTAGATTTGGGTTTTACACAAGCTGATATCAATGTTATTATCCACTGGTCTTCAAAGTCGGGGCTAATGTATCCATATTGATTGACATCCGTACACCTGATGTAATCTGAATGACTAAATCATATTGAATCATCCAATGGGAAAATATCATCCATTCTGGATGGTAAATCCCAGTTCTGCTAAAATGTTTATAGTTTTACACAATAAAATGATTGAATTAAGACAACTTAAATGGTACAGAGTATTAATAAATATAACTATGACGGCAGACAGTCTATGACATAACTGGGAAAGTCGACTTTTCAACAGTTAAAAGATTTTGTAGAAAAGCAATAGGATGTTGGTTAGTTTGAACATCATTATATGTGATATCAATAACTTAACTATATATTGAACTATTGACCTGAAGATGATCCCTATTGCACACTTATTATAGAAACCATTTCTGTGATAAACTCATAGATAGATCAGGTGAAAAACACATCTTCTGAATACTGGACTGTTAGATTATATTTTGATTAACAAATATTACTTGTATGAAAGTACAATGAAATTGTTGAATAAGTAAACTTCCTAAATAGATGAGAAGTGGTATCAGATGTTATTTTATATTACAGTGTATTTGAACAAGATATAATGTCATATATACCACCAGCTTTACGTAATCCAGCCAGTAATTTAGAAACTAATCAAGGTTCACCGCAAGGTTCACCAGGTAAGATTTACACAACTCTACTCAGTGAACAGGGGCCTTAGAAAAATAGTTTAAGAATTTTAACCTCCAACCCATGAAAAGGCTGCATCATTAAAATATTTCATTTTAAATTTCATAAATACAGATCTAGAACATAAAATGAAATGGGGTTTAACATCTTACTTCTCTTTTACATGAATGCCAACTGAACATATATTGAAATCTTTACTTACTGATGCAGGTTAATAATTCTCTTATTTCAGCCCCAAATAGACCGCCTGCTCGTGTTCCAGCTCCCCATAAAAGAGATTTCCATGCAAAACTGCGAAACTTCTATAGAAAACTAGATTCTAAAGGTTATGGTCAAGGACCAGGAAAATTAAAGTAAGTTAAAAGACAATACAGGTAATCTGACAGTAACCATTAAAAATATCGCTTCACTAGTGATTGAGAACTTTAATATAAGGTTATCTAATTAGATGTCTTCATTTTATATGGGAGTGCACATTGTCATCCTCAAATAAAAAACCAAAATATCAATAGTAGCTAATATCTCGACTTGGGTTTCAATCAGATTAAAAAGAGACCCATCAAAAGATTTTGCTGTATGTGATACTAGTTTGTTAATACCATCTGGAAAGGTTGCCGAATGTTTGAAATATTTCAATTCATCGTTTCTTTGGAAATACTGAATGGAATTGAACCATTTTTGGATTGATAGTGGTTTGCAAGGGATTCAGAATCCTTTAAAAGATGATCAGCAGCTTCATGATATTTTTATATCACAACATATTATGATGTTCTTGTCACCATTCAGAATGCTTTAGGTTGGAATATGTTCCCGCCATGCTACATAAATGTGACTATGTAATGTCTGTAGAATTTGATTCCACCATGCTACATAATTGTGACTGTCTATAGAATTTGTTTCCACCATGCTATATAAAAGTGACAGATGTAATTTCTATTACTTTCTATAAAATTTATGAAGGATAAAATGTTTTATATTTCATTTGTAGATTAACTGTTAGAAGAGATCATGTTTTAGAAGATTCTTTTAATAAAATTATGTCCACACAGAAAAAAGAACTACAGAAAAATAAACTTTATATAACATTTGCTGGAGAAGAAGGGTTCGTACAATGTCTATAATAATTTATTTATATTTGTTCTATTTACAAACAAATGATGCAGAAACTTAGCTCAAGATCAGTAGGCAATTTCAGCAAGTGACTTGTACTTTTAAAAGAAACAGCCATTAGTTTACATTGTAAGTTTGACAATTAATTGTTAGTAGGGCTATTGTTGGCACTGCTAATTGGTGTTGATGGAATGGAAACCATGTCAACATCCATTATTTCCTAGAGTTTTCACAAGTCTTGATTACAAATGACAAATGTAGTTAACATATTTGAAGTCTTTGTCTATCTTAATCCAAAATCATAATATTAGTTTACACATATTGAAAATAATATTGTATTTTCAGATTGGATTATGGTGGTCCATCTCGAGAGTTTTTCTTCCTTCTATCAAGAGAATTATTTAATCCATACTATGGTTTATTTGAATATTCAGCTAATGATACATATACAGTACAAATCAGTCCTATGTCAGCTTTTGTTGAAAATGCTCATGAATGGTAATCTCCCTTTGTTTATTATCACACTATCTAATATTAGGGTACTATAGTAGAAAGTGGAAAACTACACAGCAAAACACAGACATAATGCATAAAGTGTCAATACTGTAAACGCCATGATGTCAAAACTCCACTATGATGGGAAAAATGTTGTGTTCCTTGGAGAAATTAACAAAAGCAGAGCAAAGACTTCAAAAGCTTTGAAATAAGTTAAAATTTGTCAATTAGATGTACATTCAAAGTTTCGGCCCAAAAAATTTATGCAAGAGTCAAGTGAGTCACGATTTCAAAGAATCTGCTGAGTAATCTTTCTGTCCCTCAGTACCAAATGTATCAACTGAAATAAATTAGAGTGTAACCCTGATTTTAATCCAAATGTCATTAAATCATATAAGATTTGTTCTAACTATGATCTCTGCCTTTATTTTCAGGTTTCGTTTCGCTGGTCGAGTTCTAGGTCTTGCCTTAGTTCATCAATATCTGCTGGATGCGTTTTTTACTCGTCCATTTTACAAATTTATATTGAGAGTGTAAGTATAACATGTTCACAAATTTAACAATGTGATTGGGGGCTTGGGTTGGCATAGTAGCCTAGAGTGTCGCACTTTGAACTCTAACTGGTCTGTCACCTTTGGCTTGTGGTGGTGGTTTCGATCCCTGGTGTGAGCTTATGTGGCTTGGAGATAAGGGACCTTCTAAACCTTATGGGCTTACTCCAGGTACTCTGGTTCCTTCCCACAGGAAAGACCCTTGCGCATGTGCTGAATACACTAAAATGAGTAATAAAAGAAAAACTTGTCTGCGATATGATCTTCGGGGGAATCAGATGTTTAACCCTAAGAACAACAATGTGATTTATCATACAGCCAATTGAAAAGTAGCCAGATTATTTAGAAAATATTTTCTATAATTAATAAATCTTGAGTAATCCTGACATTCAGTTTTCAAACAAAAAGGTTTAAAACTGGCTCCTGTTACCATTTTTATATGCCCACATTGAAATGTGGTTGTTTGTCTATAATAATTTCCTGTAAACATTCTGTAGATTTATTCTACAGATACAAATTTCTTTGGTTAATTTTTATCTAATGCTTATTTAGGCCTTGGTCTTTAGAAGATGTGGAGACTATTGATGCTGGATTTTATCAGAGTTTGTTGTGGATAAAAGATAATGATATAACAGACTTAGATCTAGATCTTACATTCTCTGTTAGTGAAGAAGTCTTTGGTCAGGTATGTTTACAACTATTTTGTTGACCTTGTAATAAATATAATAATGTTATGTAAAAAATATTAAAATGAGTATAGTGGTTTAAAGGCACAGTTAACCACCAGCCTATATATTTAAATAGTGCATTTATACACCCACATTTTCATATTGTCGTCGCCCCGGTCCGTCCATCCACAATTTGTATGTGGTCACAATTCTTATCCGATTTTGACGAAACTTGAAATATATGTTTAGATACAAAAGATCTCAGTTCCTTTCTATATTCGCGCATATCGGATCGTAACTTCCTGGATTGTACAAAAAATTGCTTTTTGTTTTTAGCTTGTTCTCTGTCCATCTCTTACAAAATGTGGGCGTCTAGCTTGTTGTGCCTTTAAAGAAAGATGTTTGGCCTATACACAAAAAGTGATATTATACCACCTATCATAATTCCTTCAATAATTATACTTTGCCAATATTTGGTGTAACTCCTCCATTAAAATAAAGTTTTTTTAGGGGATTATATTATTGTATTTCATACTTCTAAGGTAACTGAGAGAGAATTAAAACCAAGTGGTAGTAAAACAGCTGTAACAGAACGTAATAAGAAGGAATATATAGAAAAAATGGCTAAATGGAGATTAGAAAGAGGTGTGTCTGATCAAACAGAAAGTCTTATCCGAGGATTTCATGAGGTAATTATTTATTTTGGTTTTCTGGGAGATTTTAACCTAACTCTGTATTTTCAAGCACAGGGCATAAGATAAACTTCGGATTTCGGCTTGTCGATCAGGTGTGACGGGTTTCTCAACAGTTGATATTCAAAGTAGAGTATCTGGAAATGCTTCTGTCTTGGCATAATCGCCCCCCCCCCCCACAACATAATAACTGAAGTGTAATGTTTTAAGTTTTTCTCCATATACCATATCATTATATTTATATGTATATAAGTATCTGGTCACTCATGCCAGTTTCTTAACTGAAGTAATTTACCAGGGCTAAGTTGCAATGTTTATTTCTTTTTTATACGCCCACATTGAAATGTGGTCGTATATTGTTGTCGCCCCCGTCGGTCCGGCGTCCAAAATTGCTTGTGGACGCTCTAGAGGCTAAAGTTAATATCCGATTCACTTTAAATGTATACACAGTGTTAAAGGTCATGAGACGATGAAGCCTATTGATTTTCAGCTATTTCCGATAATTACTGTCAGAGTTATGGCCCTTGATCACTTCAAAAAATCTTGTGGACTCTTTAGAGGTCAAAGTTAATATCCAATTGACTTTAAATTTATACACAGTGTTTAAGGTCATGAGACGAAGAAGCCTATTGATTTTTAACGAGTTTCGATAATTACTGCCTGAGTTATGGCCCTTGATCACTTCCAAAAATCTTGTGGATGCTCTAGAGGTCAAAGTTAATATCCGATTGACTTTAAATTTATACACAGTGTTTAAGATCATGAGACGAAGAAGCCTATTGATTTTCAGCGATTTCCAATAATTACTGCCAGAGTTATGGCCCTTGATCACTTTCAAAAATCTTGTGGACGCTCTAGAGGCTAAAGTTAATATCCGATTGACTTTAAATTTATACACAGTGTTTGAGGCCATGAAATGAATCATATTGATTTTCAACGATTTCGGATAATTACTGCCAGAGTTATGGCCCTTGATCACTTCAAAAAATCTTGTGATGCTCTAGGGGCTAAAGTTATCAACCGATTGACTTTAGATTGATACACAGAGTTTAAGGTCTTGAGACGAACAAGTATATTGATTTTCAATGAATCTTTATGACTTGAACAGTTAAATCCATGATGTTAAAAGTTTTGTGTACTAAATGTTAGCATGGGGCAGAACTTTATAAAAACCAAACAAATTCTAATGGTTTAATGATAATTACTTAATGAGTTGTTACTCTTAATCAGATTTTAATGTATTATAAATTTTTCATTACCGAAAAAAGTAAAAATATGCGACAACTCTTGTTGACTGCCCGGACAATATAGCTGCTGTGGAAATGTTTCGTTGCCTGGCAACCTATCTTTGTTATTGTACTTCAGGTTGTGGAGCCACGAATTGTATCTTTATTTGATGCTAGAGAATTAGAGTTAGTGATAGCTGGTACTGTAGAAATAGATATAACTGATTGGAGAAAAAACACAGAATATAGATCAGGTAATAGTTCACTCAAAAAATTTCTACACGACTCAAATCCACAAAACTAGCTTTATTAATATTATTTGAATTAAACATCACTTTACTTAATTATATCCTAGCTATTTTATTTCAAAATATTTGATATGTTTCTAGGTTATCATGATCAACATCCTGTTATACAGTGGTTTTGGACAGCTATATCTAAATTTGATAATGAAAGAAGGCTTAGATTACTACAGGTACATCACACATTTTATATAATTTATTATATCCCCTCCATTTTCCAAATACAGGGGTAATTTGAACCCTTGCATTCATGAGGAAGATGAACCCATTTCATTTCAAGAGTGAATATTTTTGTTTTAACTCCTGATAAACTGATGAGCCTAGTATGTTAGCCTATGGTAACCAACTATACAAATAACCCTAATATAAGATATATGTACAATACATCTTTAAACAGTCATAACTTCACTCAGAATAAAGTAATTTAAATGAATCTTTCAATACATTCATTTTTCATCATCTACTTTTTGAACTGATATAGCAAGGATGTCCAGCTCTTTATTTAAATCTTAACATAATGCATTTTTAAACTTGACTTGCTTATTTCAAATTTGATTAAGAAAACAAAACCAAAATGCTAGGTGGTGCTGGCTTGTTGATATCATATGTAGAGGATGCCTAATATTGTGGAAGTTTTGATTCATCATATCTTTGTTAGTACAGAAATCAAATTGAACCATTTTGGGACTAATATTCCTTTTAGAGATTCAACATTTGGAATATTGTAAGGGATTTGAAATCCTGTGAATGACGATTTTCGGCTTTAGATTTATTAAAGTAGACCTGATAAATCTCAACTTCTTGAAACAAAAGTAATAACAAGGGTTAGTGTGCCATTTGCTTTTGTTCTGTTTGTTCTGTGTTTTGTTAGCGATTCGGCTGCTTTGTTGATTGGGTATATATATTCAGTTGTGACAAGTCTGTTCCTTGAAATATGTTGTGTTGAAACTTTACATGCTAAATTTTGAAAATGAAGAAAAATGTAATTTCCTTAATTTATCACATTCAGATATATCTTGTTTTAAATATTGGTACTATAAAATGTTTTTTTGTGTTTTTAGTTTGTAACAGGAACATCTAGTATACCTTATGAAGGTTTCTCGGCTCTGAGAGGTAGCAATGGTCCACGCAAATTCTGTATAGAAAAATGGGGCAAGGTGACAAGTTTACCTCGGTATGTTTATTGTTTTACTAACCAGTTCACGAGAAAGGGTATATCTGATATTGGCCTTTTTCAGGAATTTGAGCAGGGGATGGTGAAAGGTGGAGTGTCATATATAGCCCCTATTACTTGCTCACTATTCTATTTTTACAAAGTAGATTAATACTAATTAGTTAAATGTGGTCTGAAGCCTTCTTAAAACCATTGTGGTATATAGAGTTGTTTCCCTTCTTAATAAAAGGCCTTAGTCCTAGAGGATTCTGGGATTGGGTGAACTTCAAGATGAATGCTTGTTTTGATGGAGTGTTCTAAATAAAAATCAATCCAGGACAATCCTAAATAAAACACACAACATATATATAATCAGAAGCTCAGAGACAATTTTTCTGCTCATTGGATTAGAGTGGAATTAGGCTAAAACAGTGGCAGTGCTTCCCACATTTGTTTGTTCGACTTTATTTCAATGAATGTAGCAGCAAAAAATATTCTCTGCGCAAACATGGGGTGGGCCTGAAAGCCCTCTCTGAACACACTTCTGATAATACCAGAAGTGAGGGTGTATCGCATACTACCAAATATCACAGCTACGTTTATTTTATAAAATATATTTTCAGAGCTCACACATGTTTTAATCGATTAGATCTACCACCTTATACTTGCTGTGATATGTTGTTTGAAAAAATAGTAATGGCTGTAGAAGAGACTAGTACGTTTGGTATCGAGTGAAGGAAAGTGAATCTAAATGAATTAGGAAGGTGACATAATGGCATAGGAATTAATGATCTGCAAGAGGAGCCTAGTGAAGATGTATAAGATGATTATCAAATACAGGGTTGATTATAAATGATATATTCCAGACTAAAGAAGAAACCTAAAGAGATCAATTTTTATTTTATGAAAAATATTTGATGTTGTTGTTCCTCATTTTCTTCATCAAGAGTCTTTTGATATTATTTTTAAATAACAATTTTACAATAGAGTATTAGTGAAAATTTGTGATTTATTGCTTTTTGTTCAATTAGGCTAGAATTATTCAAACTTTTAAAATGTGAAAATGCAATAATATGTTCTTTCAAGACCATTTTCCCCTAAATACACATTGATCCCCATTTCTTTTCTCTTTTTTCATCTAAAATGTGTGATTGAATATATCTAGTCATTAGAATGGTCTAGTAATCATACCAAAGCACAAGTAATATTAATATATTAATATAGTACTGGTATAGTAAGAATTAGATAAACCTATAAATTTATAATTTAACTCATAATAGGAATAATATATTCTTCTATTTTTATTATAGAAAATATAAAAAGCTTTCATTTGTAGAGATGAAAATTGTCTTTGGCATTAATACAAACGTAACATTTTGTTTATTATAATCAATGGATATCCCTACATTGAGTATTCATAACGTTTTTGTCATGAATTTTCCACATATGCGTGAAATATTTTCTAGTCCCATATTTATTTACTGTTGGCCTTGTGCTGTAACTGTAAATGACATCCAAATGTTTATATTGTACTGCATATGTTGTGTGACATTCTGTATACATACATACAACTCTTGGATAGATATACCATATTAGGGTTATCTCAGGGATTCCACTGGAAAACCAAGGGGATGCTCGATTGTCAGTCCGGAACGTCCAGAATTAATAGAATTTCAATCGAATGACGCAGAATTCAGTTCTATCACAGTTCTGTCAATCCTGACAACAGAGGTGGTGTGAGTAGAATCATGATGTAATTAAACACAACACATATGTTTCAGCTGTCATTGTTGGTTGGGTTATTTTCTTCAGGCAGTCAGCACATGCATTGTAGCTCAAAATCCCCTTTTCACTCGATTGTCACTATTTTGGGGATGAAGAAATTCAATTCCGGAACGTTCAATCGAGTATCCCCCTAGAGTGTAATATTGTCAACAATCTATTAATAGCCTACAAAGCAGAGCAGAGAGACTTTGTAATTAAATTGTATAATTATTGTGAACCCTTTGTCAGAAATTGATGATTTTTAATAACCAACTGAATATGCCTGAAATAGGACTAAGCCATAATTTCCTACTCATTCTCCCTCGTTTAAAGATTTGCTTGAATTTGAGTTATTTTGTTACTACACTGTACAATTAATGTACTGTAAAACATGAAATCACTTAAAGATGCATTATTTAAAAGCTAAATCTGCCTATTGCAGGTATTTTTTTCTGACTTCAATTGTTATATATGAATTATTAACATGACAAGCCCATAATCAAATCTCTGGGCCATCGTTGGGCTCCGATTTTGTCAAAACTATAAACACTGATAGCATCACACAGAATAAAACAATTTGGCTGATATTTTCAATGTACAGTGTATTCATTATCTTATTTTGAACTATTATAGCAAGAATGGACAACACTTTATCAAATCCTTACATAATGCATCTTTAGATTACTTTCGAGGTGTCGTTTGTTGATTTTAAAATATGTCAAATTAAAAAAACTCTGTTATTCCATTGAATTACTATGATTGTCTTTAAAGAGGAGACTCAATCTTGAACTGTGAGATAGATTACAATTGCCTTAATCTGTAATGAGCTCAAAATGGTGATAAAAATATCCAAACCTTGTACATGTATATATTGCCAATACTATATATGGCTCAATCCTTGAAATATATTCTAGAAGGAGACTAAGATCTCAAACAACATTAAATGCATGAAATAAATCATTTTCCTTTTAAACTCGGAGTATGCTAAATATCAAAATTATACTATACCTATTCAAGTGTGAAAATAAGTAGCTAATTATAAATAAAGCACCCATTTGCACTCACTGCAGACGTTTCTTTCAAAATGAATGCTGTTACATAGCTGTATTAATTGCATTTATGTCCTTTTGAAGTTGGTTCTTGATGCATTATCTCAATTTTGTGTACATTCACTCAACTTCTTGCCAGATGCTTAGTTGTACATTCAGCCGCATTGTTAGGATTTCAGGAACTACTTCTTGTCTTTATGTAAAGAGAGTGAAGCAACTTTTGGACAAGCCAAAACAAACCAGCTATATTATGATTCTTATTTGATAAGCTGAGTTAGTAAATCAAAAATCTAGTTCCTAAACAAGATAACTACTTATTTGCTTTTAAAATGCTGTGATATTTGTCCAAGCAAAAAATTAATTGCGTTTGAACTGGGTGTTTTATTTGTCATTAGTTACTTATTATCAGACTAATTTACTTTTGTTCCATGATCCTTGTCGTTTATTTTATCAGATATTTGAAATACTGTTATTGTACATGTATGTTGTATCTTTGTATTTTATGTAATTTTATTTCAGTTTTAACTTATTCAAAAATATGACAATTTACTTTATTACGTGTTAGATGTTCAAGTTATGGTATATTGCTGATTCAGTCAGTCATATATGTGTAACATTTATACTCCGATTATATTGATCCGCTTCTGTCAAAATCACCACATATTATTTTGTTAATGATTGATTAAATATATCTAAATTAATGGTGATGTCATTACATGTCGTCATCAGTGTTTGGATTAAAGAGGATTGAGTAACTTTTTTTAACAGCAAAAATTTCTTACTGTGTAGAATATTAAGAAAATGAAATAGCAAAACCAAATTTAAACTGTTGCATGCTTTATTTTATTTGACAGTATAGGGTTTAATATGTTTTTTTTGGGGGGGTGGGGGGGTAAATCAGTTGAAAAAAATATTGAAGAATTTGTGGGCAAATCAGATTTTGTTAAGCCATAAGGCAGTTCGCTATGAGTTGGGGCCAGCATGGATGATATTAATGAATTCTGACAACAGTGTTACAGTAATACCTGGCGTAGATTGTGATAAAATACAGGTTAATCTGATCTCTGGTTGTAATTACTGTATAAAAAAAAAATAGTTGTGAATATTGTTCCTTCTAAAGCTTCAAACACTAATAAGTTTTAATTATCAGAGTTCAGCACACAGAGTACTGACATTTTGTGAACACAATATTTGTCAGCAGAAATGAATACAGCAGTGTACTATTCACTCTTAGAAGAGTTACATCCCCTTCCACATTGTACTGGGCTATGTTTGTGAAGCATCCATTTTGTTGTGTTCCATGGTAAAAGCCTCCTGTTGTTATTCATATGTATCACTTTATTTCTCACAGTATTCTTAATACATTTAAATCAGAACACATTAGTCTGTTAAATTAAATTAAACTTAATATGATATTCTGTTTTATTTTTGGGGGGATATTAGTTGTAATTATAAACATATAGATTTTTTAATAGTAAATATTCAATGAATGATTGTGATAATATGTTAAATAACTGTGAATATGTGCTGGAAATCACAGCAAGATTTTTCTTAGAAATATTCTGTTATATTATTTTTTTTGATAAACCAAATATTATATCTGTATAACATTATGAATTGATTTGCAGTCCCAGTATATGTAGGGAAAATGATGAGAAGGGGTTCTAGATACTTTGCTTATCACAAGAACTAATTTTGGATTGTGGTTGTGACTTTTTGAAAATTTGTCTTTAAAGATATAGTTCATTGACAGTCACAATCCTTAATAAATAAACATCAATTGACAAACGTGTCCAAACTACCAAGAACAATTTTTGGGGTGGATAGGGATACTGTTGGTTTTTTTGAGATACGTCAAAGGAAGCTGTATTAATAATCTATAAGTTTTAACCTAACTGTCATTATGTATTATACTCGCTAAACGGGTAGGTTATTTGTCAGATAAAAATATATTTACAGGAAGTTATAAGGAAATATTCATAATTGGTCAATGGAACCTACTTAAATATCCGATTAGTATGTAAATTTGGAATTTTGGGGGGTATATTTTGAATTGAGTTCCTTTTTTGACATAAGAAAATGTAGGTTTGTCTTGGACTGTGGGAACTTTAAAGATAAGATCATTTGGGAAACTGTATTTTTTTTATTGTCAAAATGTTAATGGTTATTTATATTGTTTGCTTGTGTTCATGTATAAAACCACCATGTTAGCCTATATTAATTGTACAGAATCTTATATATATATGTATAAAACATTGTATATCAACAAACTAATCTCTACTTAAAATTTAAAATTATACATAAAACCACCATGTTTCAATGAATTGTTCTCATACTTTGATAGGAAGCCTCTTCCATAAATATGTCCTGATGGCTAGGTCTATGGTGGTCAAACAGTAGGTTCTAGTGTTACAGGTTGTAAGTCTACATGTGTAATAAACCAAAACCAAACTGTCTTCAGTCTTATATAGTGGAACATATTAAGTTTTGAGTTGAATTATAAGAGAGTGGATGTCGATTGTTATTTACGGTAATATTGGGTTGAAAAGATTGACATTTGGTCACCTAGAAATACAATCACTGCCTGTGACAATAAATTTTACAATTTAAAAATATTTGACTGCATTTTGTCTCTATTGGGCAATGAGTAAATGAGAATCACATACATATAGCAGAGTTAAGACTGTAATAACCACAATGGGCCATATAATCTATAATAGGTTTCATCATATTTCTGTGATATAGTTCTATGCTACTTTACTTTTGACATTATTTACCTTCCATATATACCGATCAAGTTCTTTTAGTGTTATATACTCTGCTTATGCATTTATACCTATTCTGTCTATATAGTATATATATGTGTACACTGTTGTACTAATAATACCATGTCTATATTTACCTACTGTCAAATAACTCTTTCACCTACATTTATCTGTAATTTTAACTTGTATAAACATTTTCTCCAATTTAACTTGACACAAGTAGATAAGACAGTATGTATACTAGTTTTAAATCTTGTATAGGTGTGTTTGTAATGAGCTTCACAGGTTTATTTTTATCAGTTAAACATTGTGCAATGATACTCTGTTTGATTTCTAACAGGTGTGACAATAGTATGGTTTTGTGGACATATTTCTGTTTTTGAACTGTTTTCAAATTACGAGTATTTTTGTTGATTAGAAAACACATTGCAATAACTATTGTTAAAACCTCTGATCCTCATTTCAAAGATTTGTAATCCCTTGAAAACTACAATATTGTGAAAGTTGAATCATGCATAGGAATATTGTTGGGAGAGGGGTTTTACATAGGCTAAGTCTGTTCCCCAACCCCATTCAGACATCCTGAATAAAAACATTGTTTTAAAAAAGAGAAAGTAAAAATGTTCCAATGATTTGAAAAATTTGCAACATTTGGCATTTTCTGCCGGTTGTATAAACACACTACCACCACTATTAAGTGAGGGGTAAAATCTTATTATAGGTCTCTTTTTAATCCGATTAAATGCAACCATCTCAGTGTTGATATTTTGGTTTTGTTTTCTTAATTAAATGTTAAATAATCTACTTGAGTACATCTAATCGTGGATTAAGCCCTGATGAATTGGATATTGGTCGAAAATGCAAATAACAATCAATGGGTTTTAATTGAAGTTTAAACTTTTTTTATTTTAGTTTAGTAGTTATAGGTCAACAAATTATGTTAGGTCTGTCCCTGTTCACCCAGAGCCTTGAATTATCATTGTTACTTCCACTAGATACATGTAGATCATATAGAACAGTATATGTACCTCTAATATAATCATGAATAGGGCAAAATTTGTTATTAAATTTGTTATAAAGTTATCATATTTTTATATATATATTAATTTGTTTGTATTAAGATAGTTATGTCCAATATACCTATAGTACTACCATTCTACATGCTCTGTGTACTGCTGATCATTGGAGTCGTCTCGGCGGATCATTGGCAGAATCGCTTCTGGTAGATATTCCAGTGGGTTTTTCCCCGTCAGTGCTCGGATGGGATGGAAAACCGAAGTCTCGCGTACACATTGGTGTGCACGTAAAAGTACTCTGGACAGTTGGAATTCGAAATAAGAGTAGATTGTAACCCAGCTGTCTGGGCAAAATTTCCTAATGGCACATTGCATTGCTTATGCCTGTCTTCATTAGCTCGGCCGGTGCAGAAAGGAAGTGTGACTGACTAGAAGTGTTACAGTGTTTTGATCTTGATTAATGGCTGATGATCCAATAATGTAATAGACCAGGGGGCAAGTAGAATGTGTTTGTTCTATACTATAGCAGGTTTTTATACTCTTTGTTTCTCCAGACATTGTGTACATTGATTGGTGGTTACTTGATGTGATTGAATTAATATATTAATTAATGACATGGAAAATTGTTTACACTTTATTGGTCCAAGACATGATAATTATGTTAGAATATTTAAAAACTTATCAATTATTACTTTTATTACACAATAGTTGTTAAATGTTTTATTTAGCTTTTGTTAAATGTTTATAAGCTATTTATATTAAGGAAATTAGATCTGCTCATCTGTCAAACTCATAATTCAAATATTGTATGTCATAGACCATCATAATTTCTTTTGCATCATTATCAATGCAATTTCTCATTATTATTTTTATGCTGAGCCTGTACAAGGTACTTGGAATTTTGTTGGGTTTTCTCTTTATAACTAGCCAAATAACCACAGCCAGTTTTAATCAAAAAGCACAAATACTCTAATCTGTAGAGTGTTCAACAAGAAAGATGAAAGAATGCTACTCTAAAGAATGATAGTCAACCAAATGTTGTTTTGCTGTATGTTGCCATTAGTAACTTGACAGTTACTAGTATATTTAGGTGGTTTCAAAGAGAATGTAGCTGGTTTTAGGTTGTTTAATGATCAAAGGTGTACAATATATAACCAATAAATGGTGTTAATTGAGTGATAATTGTGAAATGTAAAACTGTCCATGACATTTTATCAGCTACATTGGACACTGTACTAACAACAATAAACATACGCAGTGTGGGTCTGGGAATTTCTTCCTATGGTCAAATGATAAAATAGTCCCCTAAAATCATTAACTTTTTTTTCCTTGAAAATGATATTTTCGTTTTTGAACAAGACAAGTCATATAACACAATGTAGCGTTCATCACAAAAACAAAATATTTTAAGGATTTAGAATTTTCATTGGCTGAGAGTTAAAATCCTGGTATATTCACTGCTTCTCAGCCAATGAAAAGGCTGCATTCTTAAGATATACAAGTTGATGTGAATAAAGGCCCCTGGTGTTTATTGATAAAGTCTTAAATAATTGACTGCTTTACTTTGCTATAAGATAATGTAACACTTTAATGCAAGTTGTTTATGTTAAATGTATATTAATGTATAATATATATTATGTAAGATGTATGTATCAATCATGTTATGTAATTGTTCTATGGTTGTAATACATGGGTTATTATTAATTTATTATAAATATAATTATTGTATATGTAGATATACTAATATGTAATATATAGACTAGACAGTATCTAATCACTGTAAATAACTAACGCTTGAATCTGACCACACCTTGTATGTATCTCCTTGTACTTCCTAATGTAAATATGTTTTAAAAGTAATCCCATTTTTCATAAAGCTATAAAATGCAAATAATAAAATTATGCAAAATAGTTTCTTTTTATTTTGAAGAAAGTAAATTGTTATTTTAAAAAGTGGGGACTGTTTAGCAGATTCTGTATGGGTTTTCGGCCAGGTGAAGAACATGTTTCATATTCGCAAGAAACCATGCATGATCAGAAACCATATTAGGAAGGTAAAAGACAAATGGGACTTTCACTGTGTGTATTATAGGTGTACTGGAAAAATAAACCATCTGTTCTTCTGATGGTTCAAGTCTGGTGTAGTCCTGATCATCTTGCATAAAAACTGACAAAATGCCTGAAAGCAATTGCAGTAAAGTATTTGGTTCTTTTGAGAATAGTTTGAAAAGGAAATCTTGATTCCAGTCCTGCTTGATAGAATTTCTACACCTTGAAGTTTTATATATGCAAAAAGGAAAGTTACCACGTATAACATTAAATCTGTCATCAAAGTTTTCTAATCTATTTTAGAAACCCCAACTATATTTCAGGGAAGGCTGTTGGAACTCTTTATTTTTGTCCCAAGCAATTATCTGGGTGGTGTTATATGTTTTCAAAAGGGTGCCGCAGGGCTCAGTAATCCCTCCCCTTTGTTGGCCAAGCAAGTTCATTAGGATTTTCAAACATGGGTTTCTCCAGCAGTATGAAGGGCCTGGCAAGGCACAGTTTCTAGTCATTCAAATGGGATGGAAGTAAAAGAACCCTTGACGGCTGGAATTCGAAAGTCACAAATTCCCTAATGGCACCCTGCATGGCAAATGTCCATATTCATTATCCCGGTTGGTGCAGATTTGTAGGACCAGTGTCACGTCTAGCTGTAAACCAGTTTCCTGATTAGCTATCAGCTTTCTATAACTGAGATGCTTGCATGGATCCCACAGTGACAAATGACTCGATATTTTGGTCTCTAATATTCAGACAAGGTAAATAGGTTATATCTTCACATTTCAGCATTTAATTTGCATACTGAAACAAACCTTTTGGAGGTGGGGGTTATAAAAGCTCTCACTTGTTTACACCCATCATAATCCAGTCCAGTATAACTATACACACAGGTTTCAGGCTTACTATCTGTTTTAAATTAAAAAATATTACAAAGAAAAATTGAAGATATTAAAGAAAGCATTTAATTCACTAAAGGCTGGCGAGTGCCTGAAAACTGCATATAAATTGGCATGATTTTTATTACAAAATGAAGCGTGACCACAGAAATTAAAGACACATTTACAGTTATATAATGATTCTATTATTGCTGTTCATCAAAGAAAATACGGAGATATTCAAATGAAATGTATTTTCTTATTCCTCCAGAACTAAGTAATATCAATTATAGTGCTGCCATGAGAGGTTGCATATTAAGTTGAATTCTATCAACATCAGAATTAGTTTACTTAAGCTATTATTACAACATGGCAAAATAAAATATATGCAGAGTATATGAAGGGATATACAGTAAAATACATTTCATTTCTGCTACGAACAGAGCTCAATTTTACAAAGCAATTCATCCCACTGAATCTAAGTTAATAATATTCGTGGAATGACTAGCACTTCTGTAATCCGGCAAGATGGAGCGATCGACATGCCCAGTATGAGGTATTTATAATTCATGATGTAATAATTATGTATTTCAAACTCCATTTAACTATTTTAGTATTTATAACTAAAAGCTTATTTAATACTTATATTACTAAGAGTCAAGCACACCTATATTTACTTACATACTACATACGATAAATAATTCAATCTCAAAAACTTTAGCCCCTAGATATCAAAAACTTTGTTTTTCAGTGACTGAGAGTTCATATTTGTTTAATAGTCATTGCCCTTTCATTATTTGGCAATTACCACACAATTTCTGTTGCCATTGGGCTGTTTATGCACATGAGATGAAACTAATTTTCAAAGTGCTATTTCAACAACATAGATTTTTATTCCAACATTGCGGGTTATAATACCTAATCCATATCAGCCAAAATATACTATAATAACTCCATTTCTTTGTTCTCAATGTATAATCCATTTCGTACTCTGACCATAGGCGTAGGAGCTCAAAGTAATTCAGGGGGACATAAGAGAAAATTGCCCGAAATCAATACCGTTTTTTGGGGCATACATATCATAAGAGAGCTTCGGGCATATTTACGGTCATGCAATGGACAAGAAAAAGACGAGAAAATACTTTTCGGGCAGTGTGGATCTCATAGAAATAAGTTAGTTATAATTTTTCCCTAAACGTTAATAGAAAATTTGCCCCTCCTGCCCCCCACCTCCCCGGCTCCTACGCCTATGACTCTGACCATCAGACTTGGAACTCTCTTGAAAAGAGGGCATTGTCAGAATATCCATAGTTTGAATTTTTACACACAAATTAGTTAAGTCACTACTACAACAATTTCTGATATTATCAACAACATTAACTGTACAAATACGTTTTATTAAAACATTTAATATATGAAGTCATACATGTATCAAAACATTTAATATGAACAGAATAAAATTTTGATTACAAGTCTGCTGGCTTAAAGTATACAACATTCATTTGTACATTATGTAAGATTTCTTCAGTCATTTTCAACAAAACCTTAAAAATAATACCAATGTAAGATCTAGTTAAAAATTGATGAAGATAGAATTTAGCTGGATTGTAATCAAATTATTATTATTAGGAATAAACACCAACAAGGTTGGTTTTTTTTAAGTACAAAGATTATTTTGTTGATTTCTAATAACATTTCGAAAAACCTGAAAATTTGATGGGACAAAAAGCTTAATTAAAAAATATATTTATGAGGTAAGAATATAAAATTAAGCAGGTGATTTGAATTGGTTAAAATTAAAAAGGGCATTTGTCAATAAACCAAATGGCTTTTCGTATCAGATCCACACCTCCTCTTCCAACTGGTAATACAAGAAATTAAATGCTTAGAGTTTCACCCATTGTCCAATCTATACTAAATTTATTCTGATAACAACTTATGCTAACTTATATCCATATAAGGTTGAGACAGGGGAATTAATTCTAACAAGGAAAGCACCATTAATTTGCAAGTCCACAGAATGTTATTTTTTTCTTAAAATTTTGTTTAGGGTTTTTCTGAATAGAGATTGGAAAACAGGAACACACATAATATATGTAGACTATCCGAATTCCTCTCCCTTAATTTGACCCTCATGTCTGAAGAAGCAGGCAGTTCTCCTTCATTGCTGGCATTAGTTCTGGCAGATAAAGGGTGGGAACTAAGTAGATTTGGTATATTGACAAATGCACCATTCGCATGTAAGTAATATACAATAAAAAGATATATAAGGAATGTTGTAAAATATATATATTTAAAAAAGAGAATTATTTTATTCTAAAAGTAACAATAAAGGTCTATTTTTTTAAAAATTCCAATATGATTCACAATAAAAATTTATATACAACTACAATAAAGAAACACAGAATACATCATTGTTAATGGATTCAAAGCATTCTGTTAAATTCCAACATTTGTGCAAGCTGTTTCCATATCTCACAGATGTTTTCTGTAGGACCTTACAGCACTATTCTGGATTTTAACGGATGCTTTGATTAGCCATCTTAATTAGGTTATGGAGCACAAACATTCTTCAATTCTTTAAGATCAACCATTTGAAATTTGAACATAGTGGCAACCCACAACCCAATAAAGAGTTTTTTCCAAACATATATTTTCAAAGTATCAGTTCCCAAAATTTAATTGATCAGAAGTAACCGTTCCTTTCTTTAGAAATTTCACATACAGATCATTTTAGCCTCTTTAATCTTAACTCCAACTTTATTACGCCTGCACATACAATAAACAGTTATTCCTGATTTTTAGTTTTGAGAAAGAAAAACTAAAAAATAGACACACACACATTTCTGATTTTCAGAAATGTAATAGCACATTTCACTTTCTGTTAGCACAAATATTTCACATTAATTCAGATGTAGTAGATATCCAATTCCTTCTGCTAAATAGTCTCTTTTCAAGTCCTTAAAATCCAGTTATCTCCCTTGATACACGTCTGTTATCTCTATCACCTTCCATATTAAAATCCTAACAAATAATCTCTTACACCATCCATTTACTAATTAATCCAATCAAACAGCTTATAAAAAGTACTAATCCAACAGGTCGAACAACACCACTACCATTAACTACAAAAAAAAGTTTATAATTATAACACAACCACCATTCACAAATAAAATAGTGATACTCGATAAATCAGAATCAGAGTCTTCTTGATCTAATACTAATCATTGACATTATTCAAGGTATTGATGTAATTAAACTATATACAAAGTTCCATTACTCTGACTCAATTAAAATCAAAGCCATGGTGTTCCAAAGTCACAAAAAATCAAATTGATTATCAGTGCATAAACTAAGTAGAAAATGCATTCTTATCATCAAACTCAGTCAAGACATATTCCTTTAATTAACATCTACACCACGTTTGACGCCCCTGATACAAATTAGGTCAATTTGGGACCAACATGTATAATTTTATTTCAATAATTCACTTGAACTTAGGGAGAGGAAACCAGAGGACCCTGAGAAAATGCATGAGGTTGCATGGAATCGAAACCACTCGTCTTGACTCCATGACAGAATCTATTATCTAAAACTAACTCTTACCTTGTCTGAGAAAAACTGCTTCCTTATAAATCTTTCCGTCAGTAGATTCTACTATCAGATAAAAGTATGAATTAAAATGGCGAGTTTGAGCTTCATAAATATCCAATGTTACAATTTTATTTTCCTCATCTCCCTGTAATAAACAAAGTAAAAATATGTATTAATGTTCCCAATAATTCTTACAAATTTAAACATTCAAATAATAGAGTATCTTTTATGTGGTCTCATCTATTGTAGTTTGTTTCATCTGCATTTGATGGGAGCCGCGGTGGCTCTGTGAGTTTCTAGTTGGGATGAAAAACCCAGATCTAGTGTACACACATAAGCATGCACATAAAAGAACCCTTGACAGTCGAAATTCAACAAAGAGTAGGCAAAATTTCCCTAATAGCACACTGTATGGTGTATGGCCATCTTCATTAGACTGATTGGTATAGAATAGTACAATGTTTAAACCCACTTCATTTCATTTTGCCATCAACTTTTTTGTAAGATCTAAATGGTAAGCTATAAATGTGTGCTATGATTATCCAGTTGTCCTTCTAACCTAATTTAATACCGTAATCTATGCAAAACCTGAAGTTGTAAGATTGCGATCTGCTACCTGAGAGCAAACATTCAGCACAGGTTTCTTAGATCTCTATGTAGTGTTGGCCAACAAAATTATATGCACTGATACAAAATAAAGTTCTTATTTTAATTTCGTTGCTATGTCTTGTCACAAAAACAATACTGATTCTATGTTGTTAACAGATCCTAAAATCTGCTGCACAGCACTTTAGATCACTTAGATTTCTTTACTAACCTCTATTCTGACTTCTGTTAAATCGGCAGTTTTGTTACCAGGGTAGAGAATTTCTATTTCGTTATTGTAGCCAACTTCCCAGTACAAATGTTTAATTGGTTTCTGGGAGGAAACATCACACTTCAGTTCAACAAAACGATCTTTCAAAACAGCTGTTTTGTTTCGACAGCTTATCAGAGGAGTAACTGAAAATACACAAAACATAGTTTAAATGTTTGGAAAAAAAACTGTAAATTTTGATGTGGTTACCTGTTAAGATTAAAAATCTCAAATGTGTGGGCATACCAAAACTGGAATTCCAGCACCAGTATTTGAAACAACAATTCCGTTAATGAAACCGAAGTTCCCTTAAAACTGATGTAGATTTCAAATTTTGACGTGGTTACTCTTTAAGACAAAAAAGATCTCCAATTTACAAGAATTGTGGATGCACAAAAATTGGAATTCCAGTACCAGTATCTAAAACAATGATTTCTTTAAGGTAAATGAAATGCCATTTTACGATATATTATTCAGACATAAAGCAATCCATATTTCTAACATTGTTTCATTTGATTAATCACATTTCACAATGCTGGACCAAGCCATCGTTCTTGTGTCTTGTACTCTCTTACTGCAGTTGATTCATTTTGTCGTAGAGCTGCCTGCAGTTTAATTACCAATTAAACATTTCACTGACCAGAAACCAGGGTGTCATCACCACCATCTTGGAATTATCAAAAATCATACTTTAATTAGCAGAGCCATATGCTTTTTTCAAAGACAGTCACACCCAAGAACAACAACAATATCAGTCACCCTTGGGGCCCAGTTCTATGATAACAGAATATAGAAAGGCGAAGGTTAACTTACTTGAAATAATATGCAAATTAATACTGGCCACTGCATTAGCAAAATCATTAGCTACAGTATCTGGAATTTTAACTTTGGCAACACATTTCAATTTCTTGTGTTTGGGTAGAAATCGAATGTGAGCGGTGATAGAACATTTGTACGATGGACTGGCTCGAGTAGAAGCAGAATCCTGTATATCGAGAGCTTGATCTGGAGCCAGAAGAGTTTCATCCATATACAATTCTAATGCAGCATGAGGATTGCTACCATAGGTTGTGCAAGTCACAAATGAGTTACCACTTTTGACTTCTGCTTCAAAAGTTGCATCTACAGCCTCGGTGATTGGTTCTTCACTGCCTTCAAAAATTAGTTCAATTTTCTCGATGTTATCTAAAATATTTTAAAAGAATAATAATAATCTTAAAAAAAGAAACATTAATTTAAAGATAAAAAAAACAGGGGCTTGTCAATCTCCCTAATACCCCCAATAGCAGCAAAGTCTTTCAGGCTATCAACAAGAGGTTGCCATGGAAGATACGCGAACATTTTGCAAGAGATGGACAGAGAACAAGCTCAAATAAAGAAGTGATTTTTAGTACAATAAGGGGCCATAATCCAGGAAGTTACGGTCCAATATGCGTGAATATCTATAGGAACTTAGATCTTCGGGATATAAACATATTTTATTTTTCATCAAAATCAAAACATTTTGTCAGGCAGTTTTGGCCAGATTTTCACGAAATTCAAACTCAACTATCATTAGGGTGCAACAGTGATACATTCAAACGTTTTTTTTAAATTGGATGAAAATTGTGACATCTAGAGGGACGACAAGCTAAAAACGCGATTTTTTGTACAATCAAGGGCCATAATTCAAGAAGTTACAATTCGATATGCACAAATATCAAAAGGAACCAAGATCTTTGGGTTATAAATGTGCATTTCAAGTTTCATCAAAATCTAATCAAAATTGTGACCTCTAGAGGGACCAAAACCATGTTTTTTTAAATCGGATAATAATTGTGACCACAAGTTAAAAAATCAATTTTTCGTACAATCGGGGGCCATAATTCAGGAAGTTTCTATCCGATATGCGCGATTATCGAAAGAAACCAATATCTTTGGGTTATAAACATGCATTTCAAGTTTCACCAAAATCAGATGAAAATTGTGACTTCTAGAGTGTCCACAAACTAAAAACGTAATTTTTCGTGGACGGACAGACAAGGGCGACAGCATAATACATCCACATGAAAATCTGGGTGTATAAAAATCATGGTCAACAAATTCCTCTGAGAAAGTTCTAAAATCCAAACACTACACTGTATCTCATTCATAACATGGTCAAAACATAATCCTGGATATGACTGTTATGTGAGGATTACAACTAATTTTGATAGTGTTTTCCTTACCGTCAAACACTCCACAGAGAGAAATTTGTCCTGTCACATTGACAAACTTTAAAAGTAATAATTTGAATTCTATGAGAACTACTTAGTGTTTCTTCCTTGTCTGCCCTAATTCCACCAAGTATGAAAAAATTACACTGACAAATTTTCCTGTACCACATTCACAGATAACTTGGAAAAACACATTTTAAGTTTTTAAGATCAGGAAATTTTTATTACAATTTGACAGTGAATCCCTAAGCCCCAATAATATATCCCATCAAGGTTTCAATTAAAAATTTCTTCCAGAACTCTGTCCTGTATCGGGTTCACATTAATTGGAAATTTACAATTGCATATTCTGAATTTCAATAGGGTTCATCCATAGGTCAAATGAACAATAGGTTTTTGTGCTCAGAATTGTTCTTAATTAAACTGTAATAATAGCAAAACAGTAGCCTATGTAATTTTATTACCATTTTCATAAACTCTCTAGTGTATGTTACTCCTTGAATTATACATTAAATACAATTATGTATTTAAAAAAAATGCAATTATGCATTAAAAAAAATTATGCATTAAAAAAAAATACAATTATACTTTTTTAAAAATATAATCATACATAAAATATAAAATATAATTATACATAAACTATATATTATACAAAAAATATAATTATACATAATACGTAAAAAAAAAAGATAACTTACGCAATACAGAAACGTGGACAGATGCTTGATGAACAACTGCACCTTGTTCCATTGCCTTAAGAATATATTCACCATCAGTTTTATCTTGAACTGTAAACAGACATTATACATGGAATAAAAGATTTATTGATGGGTACCTGAAGGCAACACTGGAAGGGATGGATACCAAAAAAAATTTCTTAACTAGACTGACCCCTCCTTGAATTCAAGTCTCACTACACTAACTGATAGAAGGAAGATGGAATCCTCAAAAGCTAGCTAATTTCTATAGCACTGATGTAGTGGTTTGATGACTTTACTGTAGCCTAATAGCAGGACCCTTATATATTATACATGTGGGTGCAGGACAGATTTTCTGCTAATATAGAAAGTTGTGTGCCATACTGACCACCATCTGAAAACAGCTCTACATTTAAAACAGGCCTACATTTTATACAAAATTTGAATAAAACACAGATTTTGAATCAAAATTTACCCATTTTATTAGGAAATTTGCCATTTAATACATGTAATATTTAGATAAAGAGCTGGTTGTTTTATAATAATTCAAAAATAGATAATGCAAAATGAATATATTGAAAATTTCATGGAAATTACTTTATTCTGAGCAAAGATATTGAAGGTTTGACAAGATGTGTGCCCTGATTGTGACCACCATACTGGTTATTAGAGACTAAGCCTTGCTTCAACATTTTTACAATAAATCATCAAATGAGTGAACCAATCTAATCTGCCTAAAATCGGACTCATCCGATGGCATCGAGAGTTGATTATAAGATCTTGTCATGTTAATAAATTTCTAATTAATAGTTTATATAATATTTAAGACCTGCAATAGGCAGATTTAACAAACCATGTTATTAATTCATCAAATTTACTACATCATTATTTGTAACAACAACTCATTGAACTAATATCAAATCATAATGGCCAAAATAAAAACTTACCATTGAGAAGGATTAATGAACCCTTGATGAAATCTTCAGCATTGAACTCCAACTGGTATTCATTGCCACTTATGCCAGTTTCCAAACTTGCTTGGGTTGAAATTTTATGTTCATTACCTTCTTTGTCTTTATGAAACCAGCTTACTTGTCCCTTTAAAATAAACTGGATTTTCACATCCAACACAAAATTTAATGTTTGTGTTTCTCCAACTTTTACATACTGTGTTTCTGTTGGAGTTACAGTAACTGTCACTGCTTCACCTGTAAGGAAAGATAAAACATTATGGTAGAAATTGGTTTTGGTTATAGACTGTATTATTGAACATGAACTGGGAAATAGAAAGTTTTATTTCTTTGAGGAAGTGCCAGAGATCTATTGTCTTGTATGCGGTCCAAATTAAGTTCTAGCTGCTGTTTAACAAACCATGCATGGTGGTTTAACCAAACATTAGAATTTTGTGCAGGAACAGTGATAGTGAAATAATCATGGACTTCTGCATGGGGAGTACTGTATATAAATATCTAAGCAACATTAGAGCTTTCTGAAACAAACTAGGTTATTTTGGGACAAACAAATGGTTTATTTGCACTCAGGTATCTGAAGCAGTAAGAGGAAAATTTGTGGAACACGAGATAATCCACAACATTTGGCAGTATGTAAATTAGGTCTATTTAACGCCTGCTTCCACCTAGATGACATCACAGATAAAGCATTGTCATTCTCCACAACAAGTCTTGCTATCCAGCATTCCTTAGTGTGAAATACAAGGGAAGACAACTCTGCTTGTGGGATTGGTACATTGTAGTTGAGCAGGTAACCCTATAAGCCTGGGATTGAAATGATGACACTTAAAAACAGACCTTATGATCTAAAGGTCACATATCAAAACATTTTGACATCCACATCTCAAAGGCACATTCAACAAGAAATTATATGTCATAAATTTGATACATTCAAAACAACCCGGCCTGGACTAGCCTAATTATCAAATGTCTAAGAACTGTTGAAGAGCGTTGATCTGTGAGTCGAGATGATATTCCGACAGAATTTAATACTTCATTTATACAAACTATTGCGTAGGCATATTTCAACATACAGTGCATGTAACAATATATTTATTCTACATATCATAGTTCACTGACACATTTACTTAAGTAGTAAGCAAATAACGCTGGCGTGCCCCCATTTAAAATTGTTTGCAATGTTAATGCTGCTTTTGAAGGATTTATTCAGTTCAGCTTAAATCTTGTATTACAAGTGCTGTTAAATTTAAACTTTTTCTCCTACTTAAAAATGGTTGGTGTATGTTGTTAATTGGGATTTAACATCCACTTCCACTGATAATAATATTGCAGTAATATGGTAAAAACAAGTCATGCAGCATCAACTATATAATCATTGCTTAAATCTCTTGATGTGAAGTATTTTAATACAACTGAATCTGAGCCTGGAGATTATGTACTCTTAATTTTGATTTGTTTTTTTAATTAACTGTTGAACAAATTATACAAATGCAGCAAGGACAACAAAGTAAACACAAAAAATATTGACCTACACACGTAGGTTATATAAACAAACATAAAAGAGAGAGGGAGAGACAAATTAGGTTTAACCTTCACTCAACACAAACTATTTTAAAGTAGCCTACACAATGTTATCAGTCTTCTTATAGTTTAGATAAGAATCAAATTTCAAAAATCATTTCAAGGACAAAATGTTTTCAACCCTACACCTGCCAATACTTTGCATAACAGTACTTAAAGATGGGTTCCCAGAAAAGTATTTATCGGTTGGTTGTTTCCAATAAAAGTATGGCAATTTTGGTATATATGGAAAGTAGAGATATCCAATCTTACTAGAAAAATACTGGATTCCCCGAAAAACACTCATGGAGCGTATACAGGACAAAAATGTAAGGGTTCCCCTAATCAACAGCCCGACGATTAAGAATTACTGCACGCGTGATATCAAAGGTCACACGCGAACATTGAGCGCTTGATGTACAAGTTGATAAACTTTATGAAGAGTTAGATGTACAACACTTTCTGAGATAAAAATGACGGAAAAAGACGCGGGTAGTGGATAATCCGAGAATTTAATTAGGATTCAATATTTGTAATAAATAGTAAGCGATTAAAGACAACATCGTCTTATGTGTGCAATGAATTCTCCTCTGATTTCCAAGACGTGACGTAAACATGACCTGGTTTGATCGAATTTTAATAGCAGGGCATTCCTTCGCAATTACAATGTTTGAGAAGGATTTGAAGCATAATTATGACAAATTAATTAGTTTGAACATGTTTTTAGTCCATATATACCATTAAATCACCCAGTTTATACGCGGGAACCCATCTTTAAGCTCGCAAAACAAGCAAGAGAATAAATATCATACAATTTACAGGCTTTTGCAATAAATAATAGATTAATCTATAATTCCTCAGTCAGAGCTTTCCGAGACTACAGTTTGTCGTAGTTCTCACTACTCAGTCTATTGTTTCAATGGCATTTAGTAATTGAACTGGAATATACAGGTCACAATTATATGGAAGCAGTAATTGTATGCAGTAATTGTGACCGGTATACTCAATCTATGTCTTCTTAAAAATATCAATGGAACTTAAAATTCTCTTGTTAAAGACTAAGCCCCCCCCACCACCACCAAAAACACTGTTTTAATCTTGGAGCTTCATTGTACCCCTTTTGAAAATTCTGGGTACACCACTGTTTGTGTGAGTCATACATTGAACCCCACTCATTCATACTAGTTTAAGAACAGTCATATTGAACAAGCTATTTATATATGTTTATAATATCAGGTAATATCAGGTATATTGACTTGTAAACAATAGAACTATCCCCTGTATTGACCAGTACATTATACTGTATGAAATCAATCTGTGGATTGTACAATTAATGTCCAAACACGTTTTATTTGTACAAGGAAACTGCATCCAACAGTGCGATCCTAGATTCTACAAGGTAAATCAATGATAAATGTATAACTGAGTGAATAGTAATCGCGAGATTGTCTTACTGAACAATCAATGTAGTAAAATATAGTACTGAAGCTGTCAAGTCCTACTGTGGTATTAACTTTATCAATTTTTATATCAAACTAAGTGTCATAAAACAACAGCATGGTGATAAGCCTTTGATTGTCCACTACAAAACAATATGTACAGGTCTACTCAAAAGAGAGCTCTATAACTGGTCCACGTTCTGTTCTATTCAGATCCTTTTAACAATATTTTGTGAATGGAATTAGGATAAAGGGCTTCTAGACTCACTCTATTTTATTTTGATCACAAATATGTTGATAAAACAGGGGAGGGCAGCTCATCTAGGAAAATAATGGGTGTATTATAAAAAGTTACAATAAATATACACTTATGTTGTATTTTTGCAGTATAAAAGACAAAATCATGTTTTAGATGTGTAATGACTTGGCTTAGAGATTTCTAACTTTAAACTAATAATACACCCCGCTCGGTCTGTCCCTGCATTGACAGCGTGTTTTCCAATATTTCAAATTTTATATTAATGGTTAAAGGAATATCTTAAATCAGGCTAATTAACTTGCTTTAAGAAAGATATGTCATCTTTAATTCAAAAGTAAGACTTTTTGTTGCTAGGAAACTAAAGTATTGGTTTGTAAATTGGTTTGGAAACTGAATCAAAGAACCATTAAAGAATTTAAAAACTTCAAACCAAAACCTTTTCATTTAGATAAACTTTTAGGGCCTTTTGGTTTTAGGCATACAGCAGTAGGCTACCAATCTATTCACAGGACCTCGGTCAGTCCTGCAGGTACCACCCCTAACATATGTAAAATCTTGAAGTTCCTTCTTGGCCAAGATTATAATATGGACAGGAAAGACATTTATAACAATCCTAACATGCCTAATAATATGAACTCAGCAACAATAGAACTTTCCAGAGTAATTACAGGATCTGTTCTGCACATTTTTCTGAACTTAACTTTTGTTCACAGTGGTGTGTAATACAAGTATTAACATCAGTGACAAATACATCCTAGGGCCTGTTTCACGAAATTTTAACTAAGATAAAATCCACAATTTTAGTAATTTGATTGGATAATATTAGATTGATTTTAGAGCTTAGCCAATCAAAATTGAAGTATCTACTAAAATTTGGATTTTATCGTTAGTTAAGATTTTGAGAAACAGGGCCCAGGTATATATTTATAACCAAAACTCTGATAATGGTTAATGAGGATTTAGCACTTCATCCTCATCACTAGTACAACTTAGGTATTTAACACCTGAACTATTTTTGGATGAATGACAACATTGACATACAGATGCATACATATCATTAAAATATGTCTTTACATCTTCTGAAAGGTTCTATTCTTAATCAGACAGATTACATGTGAAGTTAACGTGTTCAGTAGAAATGAACCCAACTGAGTTACTCCTAGATTACATGGATTACCAATGTCCATCGGGTTGTCCGAACAATAGCCATACGGTCAGTCTGCCTCTTCAACAAATGACCATATAGAGACAGGTGGTCAACAGGTTATTCTCACCAATTTGTATAGTGGTCAGTCATCGTTGACCTTTAAGGTGATCTTTGAAGTGTGCTCATGGTAACCTGTATTTGATTTGTTGAAACAAAGAGATATTGTTAAACAATGCATGAGCAGGTCTAATTAAACCAGTTGGCTTCGTACAGTTCAATAAATCACTCTTTTATACCAATAAATTCAGAGCCTAATCAACTTGCATGCAACCTATTATTATAACTTTTAATGCCTCTTTATGACATCTAATATTGCAAGCAATAAGACCAGTGCTGCAGTTATGACTATAATTGATGGCAAAGAAACATTCATGGTGTACTTTTGGGTTTCCAAATCTCATCTCCCAAAGTCTAGCAAATAAAATTACTTTGTATCCTGAATTTAAAGTCAGCTAAAAATGGGTTCTAGCAACACGCTTGAGGAGCCTTAATTCACTAAAATAGTTTATGGATCCTGCCTTTTCATTGGTTGTTACTTAAGATCCTGGTACAATTTTTTGCTTTGATCTAATGAAAAACCAGCATTCTTAAAATATTTTAGTTTAAGTTTTTGTGAATATACTCCTGGCTACAGTATAAATACATGTTGCAACTGTTACTTTCCATGAAATGTCCATTAGAATCAATAAGCTTGTATAGAAGTAAAAATAGTTCCCCATCTATATTTGTACATACCGGTCCTACATATATATATATATATATATATATATAT